GACCAACCGGCAGGCGACAGATAGCAATGCAAAATTATAAACGATCTCTAGGATCGTAAATAAACGGCAAAAGTGTAAAATTATGGAACATGTAAAAAACGGTTTTTTGTTTTTTTACATAACTTTTTTTGTAAGCGGTACAGAAAAAATTCCTTCCTTGGTACAAGACTCGACACCATAACGAACCAAATAGCGAAAAAAGTAGAACAATAGCTCTTAAGATAAAGAACTAGTAGCGTCGCAAAAGTAGCGGACGGACGGACGGACGGACAAAGTGGCCACAATAGCGCATTTTTTTTTATTTTTGTGGAAATGCGCTAAAAAAATCTGATATTTAAAAAAAATCCATAATCTATATCCCCATTAATTTATGCCATTATAAAATGTTCACATTTTAGGACATGATTTTATTAAATGTGATTTTACCAAAAACATGAAAATATAGGTCGTTTTTCGTGGCGCACGATTGGTTTCACGATCGCGCACGACATCACTCGTAACGTGTTGATTTCACATGTGCAATGCGATCACGAGTAAAATTATTATTATTTGATTGACAATAGTGAGGGGGGGGGGGGAGTTTTTATTCTGTCGTCAATTCTTTATTTACAGTAGAATCGGCGTTGCCGCGCTATAATCTCACCAATTCTTCACCAGTTTAATTTTTGGCGCCACAATTTTCGGAAGCTGACCTCAAACGAATATTTTCTCAGAGAGCGCCCCGAATATCTTCGTTTGCGCCCCCGTCGTGTTTCAATTATTCCAAATACAAAATTCCATACTGCTACCTTCCCTCACTTTACGGTTTTTTCAGTGATCGTTTGCGCTCCGAATACTTTCCATTTACAACATGTACAATACAAAAAGAACAAACTAAAATATATTGAAAGTGTAGTACCGACGGACGGACAGAAAATGTGGCTGCAAATAGTCCACCCAACTTCGTCGGAAAATTTTATTTAAATCCCTCCATAAATAAGAAAGTTGGCACTGCGCATGCGCAAAACCAAATTTTGAAACTGGCGTTAAATTTGCTTTTATTCCAAGTGGCTATGTATCAAATTTCATTTAAATACCTTCATAAATAAGAAAGTTTGCAATTCGATCTGTAAATGGTCGAGATGCACAAAGGGCACTGTGAATGCTGATCGATTAGGTTCAACTTTTGGAATTGTGTTTCATATGGCTAAAGCTATGCGCATATTGAATTTCATGCAATTCGGTTCATAACTAACGGAGATGTCAAAAGGGCCTACTTTATTTTTTGGGCTACATTGCCAATTCACGAACTCCGATCTACAAATTTGATAAAGAATCCACCTGAAAAATTTCATCGTAATCGGTCCATTCGTTTATGAATTATCATGCTAACGGACGGACGGACGGACAGACACAACAAAATTATAAACTGCTAGGAGCTCGTGAATAATAAATGTTCAATAGAACCTCAATTCTTGTTCATAGAAAGGATCAATGTTTTTAATTGGTTATTAGGGAAAAACTCGAAAAGTATGCATTTTATTTTAAAAAAACCGCCGAGAAGAAAATTGTAGCTTTTAAAAAACAAAGAAAAGTAGAGTCAAAGCCAAATAACGGGACAACTGCTCCTTTCGAGGAAAAATTATAGAACCATTTTCGTTTTTTTTCTTTAATTATATAATTTTGTTGAATTTTTTTTAATCTTTTTTAACCCGCTTGAATCTTTTTTTAATTTTTTGAATCATTTGAAACTTTTGTTATATTTTTGAAAAAAATGTAATATGCTATTTTTTACATTAAAATATAGATTTAAAAAAATGAGGTTAGGCCCGATAACTTGTTGACCCGATCCCGTAAACTTATTTTGAAAACGGCAGATTATTTAACAACCACTATAAAGAAACTTTGGTAATAAACACTTTTCTGCATTGCTTTTAACTTAAATTCAATGATATAGGGTCATTCTGAAATGCGACCCAAACAGTTTTTTTATATAGCACCAAGCAGGATAGGAAAAGTTGACTTATTGTACAGTATTTTTGTACATACTATTGTGTTGTCTGATTACGCAACATCCCTGAATTAAGAAATTTACTTCAGGTTTGCGGGGTTTGTTGGTTAATCATCACTAATCACTAAAACATGCAAATACCCGAAATACGGTCAATGGTCAACATCATGCATAAAAAAAATGACGAGATTAACCTCGAGATTAACAAAGCTAGAGTCATGTACAGGGTGGCTCATTTTCGACACTATTATACAATATTTCCGTAATTCCGTATATCTCGTGTTATACTTATATACATTTTTTCTATAACTGAACAGTGAACTGATTATTCATTAAATTTCTGTTTAGGTACCACTTTGTCCGTGCGCGAAATACCTTTTTTCACTGTTAAAGTTTTCGCGAACGTTGTCAAGAACAACCTTACTTATTAATTAACCGTTGAAAAATCTAGTAGGTACTTCGTGCTTCGAAATATGTCAGAAAATGACAGGTTTTTTGACAGTTGTAGAAAAACGTTTTTTTTTGGGTCAAACTTAAAATGGTAAAATTTAAACATTTTTGTTGACGGGAAAAAAAGATACAAAAAAGTTTCACAAGTTTAAATAAGCCATTTTAAAAAAAACACACGGGGCAAGGTAAAAAAGTTATCACACCTAACCTAATTTTTTAAATGTATATTTTAATGAAAAGGGTAGCATAACACGCCGAGGATATTAAAAAAAGATTTAAAAAATTTATTTGCTAACCTAATATATTTTTAATTATTTATTTAAGATATTTTCACTATTTAACCATAATAAATTTAAATAGATAGGGGAAAAAAATTAAAAAAGATTCAAATGAATCAAAAATGTTTCAAAAGTTTTGAAGTTTTTAAAAATCTTTTTTAATTTTTAAATCAAAAATCAATATTAATATTATTATATTTTTGAAAAGAGAATTTAATATGTTATTTCCTATAACTTTTTTACCTGACTCCGTATACTCATTTTGAAAACCGCAGATTATTCGATAATCATTAATTCATTATACAGTAACTTTTGCAACATTTTTCTGTACCTAATAAAATGAATCCATTCTAAAATTGAATTGAATTGAATAATTTCTCCAGAATCTTTTCAAGCGAGCGAATATTTTCAAATTCAAACTCTATTTTCCGGATGCCTACACCTGCATGATGGCGAATGACCATATTGCGGGTCTCGTTGCGGGTATTAATAAATATTGTAGGTACACACTCAGCGTTCTTGAAACCGCAAGTATGCTACACTATCAAATTGTAGCTTTTTTTATTCCAAACATTTTCTCGAGCATTTTCTGTACAACAAAAATTAAGTGAGATATAGAAATTTAAAACGTGTATTTATATATTCTTTGAATCCTTTAAACTCACCCTTAAAAGATTTAACTCTTGTAATAATCTTCACAATAATGTTTAATAAACTTTCTATCATAAAAAAATAATGGAGTGATGATTAAAAATATGGCTGTCGAAAAGTCGGGCTTTATTGCAGCTTGTTCCGGATGCGCCGGCGAAAATCTAAATTACAATTACTTCAAGGCATTTTTGACACCCCTTGTATATAACATATTTAGCGCAAATGAGAATACTACTGGAAGTGCCCCAAAATTTATCTAACCAGAATTGCAAATGAAGGCAATGTGACATATTTTGATCAAAATGTATGTGGTTAATTCAAATTTATGTCCTTGGACATCGAAATAATGGTCTTGTTTTCAAAGATGACGATTTTGAGTTAGGTACCTTAATCACACGATCGACTTTTTAAAAAGTAGGCATGCACACAGACAAGCGGACAACGATGGAAACCTATAAGCTCTGTGCTCTGTGAAGCAATAACCCTCGCAATAACCAGCTAACAGCAATAAATCGGTAAATCCTATTTACAGGCGATTCGACAGTAATTACATGCGATTGATAGTAAATCCAAGCAGATCAACCCTTAAATGCCGCCAATAAACTTTAAACACATACAGCAACATTATTTCAGACAAACTTTGTACAAATTTTACTGACGTTATTTAAGGGTTGACATGTGTACATTTCGAAATAATTGCAAGATTTGGTATAATTCGCGTCCAAACTCTCCTAAATTGCTAAATTCACACAGGTAAACTGTAAACTGTAAAGGATCTAATTATCTTACCATTCCGTTTATTTACATCATATAATCACAGACCCAAACATGAGGTGGACGTGGACTTAATTAGCTCAGTTTTTGTTGGTACACATAATTCCCATTGCACCTCCAATTCTTGAAATAAAAAAAGTTTCAGGAGACAAACGACCTAATTCAAAACCTGGCTGGAGATGCACATTTCAGAAGTATTATTTTTCCTTTACGGAGAGCAGGCGATTCAACTGCACCTCATTTCCAAAAATCGAAAGTTTCCGTATTAAGTAGTTTTATTTGCACCCATAATTGGTCTACTAATCACATTTATAACTACGTAAAGTAATGTGGTTGCACCTTGAAAATTTAAACTTATTCAGAGTCGTTTGCAGATTTTTAACTATCAACATTAAGCAGGTAAACACAATTTTCGATAACGATGTGCTACCTTCACAGACTACAAGGAAAATAGAAAATAACGATTAATTAATTCGTTAATCAGCGACATGACAGAACGGGTTTTCCAATAACCGTTTTATTACAATAAAGGCTTATGACAAATCTAGCACTAGGAAGTCGAGTTTCTAAGATAAATCAAACCTTCTCATTTTTTATTTAAACACGATGTTGTAAGAGGTTTGGTACCTACATAACGTGAAAAGTAATAGACCCGCAATCGGTACAATATAAAAGTTAATTAGCATTTCTTGGTCTTAATTTATGTAACTGTTACACTTTTACAGGTTGTTATCAAGTGAACCCGTTGGGGTTAGAGGGGTTGTTTAGAGACAGTAAAGAACAAGTTCCGATTTATGTATGAAGGTGGCAGAAAACGGGTAGTCATAACAGGTAAATACAGGTAGAAAGATACTCACTTAAGATAATACACCTGTCCTTCTGGGGTGCGAGCTTGTTCCCAGCCAGGGGGAAGGGGAGTGCTGTCCTCGGACGACTTAGTAGCCACGTCGTATGAACGTTGTTTTACATGATGATGACTTGGGGCTGTTTGTTGTCCTACTGCATAGGTTTGTTGTAAGGAAGCTGGGGAACTATGGGCACGGTGATGTTGATTTTGTAATGGCACAGTGCTGACAGCTGTGGCGCCGGTTCCACTGCCACCGCCCCCGCTTGATGACCCGAAAGCCGAATCCACCGAATTTTCTCTAGAATGGTTAATAGATTTCGATCCCGTCGACGGAGGGTTGAAAAAAGAATCGGGAAGTTTTCGCATACTCCACGGAACTTGTAAAGGTCTTTTAGAGTCCGGTTTTAACACACTATCAAACAAAGCCTGCAAATCTGTTTCCGAATCTTGATCCACCCTTACCACTTGTTTACTAGATTCGTCCTGACTTAATGCCATTTTTGGCACTAAAATTAATAGGACACTTTAATCACTTTAATTTATCACTAACGAAGTTCATGCGAGACGAAATTAACACAATAACGTCGAAAACAACAGTGCGGTGCAGCAGGGACGGTAACTAACCGTATGAGTATGACGTGAATGTAGTAGACAGGTTAACAACAAGAGCTCGTTTTGGAACCGACAAACTTTCCTTTGTAAATTGTTGCTTACTTTACTAAAATACTAAGGAATTCCGAATCATAACAAAGCCGCGCACAGATACTCCGCGCTGAGTTTAGAACTAGCTTCGATTGATACGGATACGGCTATCCTAAAAGATAAAATATGATGCGCTTTTAAATGTCAGGAGTGTCGCTATGGCTACGCTAATACAACCGCGAAAAAAATGTAAACGAAACCTTATCTGCTTTTACCGTGGGAACTCCGTATTTATTGTTTACTTTTTCATTCAACATACTGACTGGGAACATACAAAAATCACAAACGTGACGATCGTTTCAAGTCGACGAAACGTGCCAATATATTGCATCAATGCGTTTACTATTAATTTAAAGGCTATAAATTATATCGCCGAGTTCTACAAAAACCTATAGAATTTATTTAACACAATTCAGGTTGTAGATTGTCGAATAAAAACTACTAGATCTGCCCGCTTTTATTTTAAAAAGTGCGCCAGAATTTGTTTACTTTGCTGTGAACTGCGGCGCCAAGTTTCTTCTGTATTCTCATGGCGGCAGTGCCAGATTGTAAATTTTACAATGGTATAATATAATTGGTTCAATAATCAATCTCACACACACCCGAACGAGCGTAAAGTGACTTGTACTGAGGTGTGGGTTGGGTAGTCCCCATTATATAAGGAGGGCGTTAGCCCGTGCTATACGGGCTTTCGGATGGCACGGCCACCATCTTGAAGCGCCTTCAGAAGCAAAATCCTGGTTTCAGGACTGGTCGCATTTGGTCGCTGTCGAACTCAAAGTGACGTTGGGTTTACTATCGACGCCCTTAGAAGTCGATCAAGATGTCGAGACGATCTTCTGGCTCGTGTGGCGGTTCATCACCAGGGAAGAGAGAAACCTAGTACCATTATTGAGCAATTTTCAGCACAGTAAGAGGACGACCTGTTTAATAGGTCCTCAACAGGGACGCGTAGGAGGTCTAGGCCAAGCGTAAGACCCTCTTTATTATAAGAGGGGACAGGCAACTGAATACTAGTGCATTCATGTCGATAGACGAATCGAGTCTTATCTCTGCTTCAGTCTCAGTGATTTCGTAGTTCTAAGATTCCAAAGATGGTACCTACTACACAGAAGAGGCTCCGCCCCACCTCCGTCACAGCGCGGGGTCAGATCTAACGTTGGGCTCATTTTCAATAGCTTACATGATCAGGAACTGGAAGATGTCTGATGAGTCGTCGCTATCAGACCACAGACACATTATTCCTTTCCAACTAAACAGGCATCTCATTGCGGGCCCTGTAGGTTTCGGAATCCCCGATCCATTGAATGGGACTGCTATGTGGCCACCTCTGCTCTATCGGAAAACAGAGCAGATGGAGGAAGCGGCCGCATTAGTAAGCGACGCATTATCGGTGTCTTATGAGAACAGTTGTAAACCACGGACCTTTGGAGGAACTCGGACCGCGAAAAGATTCGTATGGAGGTTCGCAAGCTTCTTAATAGGGCCATGCGAACTAACCTCGTATGCTCTGGGAAGATCTCAAGATTACTCAGCGCAGGTACGTATAAGGACCATATTCAAAAGTCTAAGCGAGGACCGTGGATGACCTTCTGTGGACAAGCACGTAGCACAGTTGCAAAAGAAGTCAGCTAGGGAGAATGTTATGGTAGACATGCTCAAGCAGAATGGGACTGATATATTTTCTTATTGCAAACAATGCGATGGGGTTCCTTCACAAATTGATATCGTCAATCACGCTAAGTATATTATTATAGTATAAGTAGTAAATCACTGATATCTATACTATAGATTCAGGTCAAGGCAAAAATTCAAATTTGATTATGTTCACAATTATAACTTTCACACGTCACAGTCCACCTAAAATGAGAGACAGTAAAATAAACTTGCATTCACATTTTGGCACTTGAACCAAAAAAATTCTAAGCTATCGTGCCTTTAAAAACCCCTTAAGACGTTTTAAAAGTCTTTATATGTTCTTTTAAGAGTATTTTAAATATGTTTAAGGATCCGTGTAGAAACTTTCAAGAGTCTTTTAGCACCTTCTAAACCTTTTGAACAAAATGTAAAAACCACTAAAGTCCTCCAAGAGTTTGAACCTCTAAGAGCCTGCAGTACTTTCTTGGATCTTTTAAAAACATGTGCGTTGATAAGCATTTAAAAATGTTCGAGGTTTGTCATAAAAATGGCAAGTGCCTTTGACAAGACTTATCATTTAACTGGGAAATGGAATGTGGTTTTCACTTGATGGCATTGATTGAGGTGATTTGTCATATAGATATAGTGATACGTCTACGTTATTTGTAAGCGGTTCGTGTTTCATTCAGTACATGAATATGTCTTTTATTTACAGAAAAGATTCCACGTATAGTTTGTTTGTGGTAGTTGTGACACATTCACGTAATCAAATGTTGCCCAAGAGACACATTACCTAACTATGGACGACGTGATCAGAAATTGTCAAATGTCAATTTAATGTCTTTATTACATATCTCTTATATATATGCTTTATTAACTTTTTCTATTCATTTATATGTAAACACATCCATTTTTGCTATTTGTAATGTCTATCAGCCGTTTGGACAAGTTATACAGAAGAATTTTATTAACAAAGTTCTTCGTAAAAGGCTGGGGAAATCCAAATCATATACTAAGGTAGTAAACTGCGTTTATACTACAGGGCTAGTTTTGTGGTTATATTTACAGATTGTTCCAATTTCGAAAAGAAATATCAAACCGAAATAAATGCGTGGACTTAATTCCCAAAGACTATCCAGTCACAATTTTAAATGTAAGTTCTACGGGACATGCTTTAAATTATTTTTGTACGTTTAGGAACAATCATTCGAAGACTACCAGTTAATAGAAGGAACATTTCACAGTCCATTAGCTCATTTCTTACCGGATGTTGTTATACCAGAAGTGAGACCTGCTCGATTTCAACTGATATTTCCGAAGAAATGGAAATCAAATACGTATCGTCCCTTGTGCATACACCTAGCCGGAACTGGGGATCATGTACTGAACTAGCAGTTTATTTTTATTCTAATTCTCCGCATTGCAGCACTTTTGGAAGCGACGGAACGTTATGGCTGTGCCACTATTGAAACACGATATATCCGCATTGATATTGGAGAATCCATTCTACGGTCTACGCAAACCCAAAGATCAGTTTCGTTCTAGTTTGCATAATGTCTCGGATATATTCGTAATGGGCGGCTGTTTAATGCTGGAGTGTCTGGTCTTGCTTCGATGGTGCGAATCTTTGGGTTTTGGTCCACTTGGTATATCCGGATTATCAATGGGGGGCCATGTGAGTACTACTTCTCTGTAAACTCATTGCTAGTTACCACGTTTATTTGCTTGGGGTTATAATCTTGTGTAAATTAAGTTTCTGTATGGAGATTAAATGGCAGCCAAGGTTGCACGAGCATAAAGTGGGAGTGTTTGACGCCACATCCACGTTTTGTTAATTTTAAAGGATATAGGGTGGGAAAATTCTAGTTTTTTGTAAATATCTTTTAAAATCACACAAACTGCAAAATTAAAAATCTACGAAGTTGTCTCTCTCCATTAATTCTTGATATGCAATTTTTTATTACCCGTGATATCGGACTGCCATTAAATTTCATTATGTAGAAAAATGTGGCTAAAATATTACTTCAATTTTTTTATGTATGGTATTGATTGTTCTCTTGCGCCCCAATTTGAAGGATGACACTGTTAAATAGTAAATATTCTTTCTGTCTGGTTTTATAGTGGGCACCAAAAATAAATCGCCGTAAGTTTTTTCAGCTCAATTTTTAACTATTTTTTTGCTTTGGAATGGTTTTTGTGATCTTTCTTGGGGAAACGATTACAAATTGTATGTATTTATTGAATATTTAATTTTGTATAATTTTGCCAATCACATTATACTTGCTTGTTGCTGTTTAGATGGCTTCCTTAGCTGCAACCAGCTGGCCAAAACCTTTAGTGCTTGTTCCTTGTCTATCTTCGTCCACGGCATCTGCAGTGTTTACAGAGGTATTTATTTACTTGCTTGGAAATTTTAGGAACTCAAGGACATTAATCAAAATATGTCTTCTGAATGCTCGTTCTTTTTTACTGTTACTATTCTCTAAATTCCTCCCACTGTATCTTTCAGAAGACATATTTCATGCATCATTGAGAACTGTAACTAAATAATCCTTTTTTATCTAGGGTGTTATGAGTCAGTCAATAAATTGGGACCTTCTCCAAAAACAGTTTAGCTCTGATAGTAAATTTTATAATACCCTGTCAAAACTGTGTACCATCGTAGATGACCCGTTTCAGTGCAATTTGAGTCTTTTATCAGGTTTGTGATGGCTGTTGCTGTATCATTTACCACGGTTCATTAGTAATTATCGGCGATGCATGCATTTTCATCTTCCATACATCAACCATTTTACTTATACTTTTATAACAGTAGTATTTGCAATAGAGTATGAAACATCGAGTTTTAATCAATTTGGCACACTAGATTGTATACACTTTGGGAAACCATCAAATGGAATTTAATAAGTGCCACTTTGATTAGAGCTGGAAATTAGTACTTTATTTGCAGTTTTTTAGTACAATTCGCTCCAATCTGGTACAATTTCTTAGATTCGTCGCCAATTTGAAAATGAAACTGAGACCTGAACATTTTGCCGAATGATCAAACCATCTACGTGATGTTAGGTGGGCCATGACGACAACCATTTGGCTTCTGTGTACAGTCATATTTTCTTTGTGTTAATTTATCTGTTTTTTTTTTACTGGAACGGATTGGCATTTATAAGCCCCTCACTTGGATCCAGAACCGTTACTTAAGAAGTTATGATAACTGAAACCAGTACCATTACAAATGAATGCCAAAAAAACAGTCTTTTTCAGTTTTCTCTTGTCGGTAAAGTAGACACGTTTCACTTTGTCTCATATTGTTGCTTTTAAAATTTGGTGTTAAGAACTTTTCTTAGATTAACATTAGTGGCTACCATAGACATATGAAACGTCTATGGTGGTTACTGGTTATTATTGACGATAAAGTATATGTAAGATGGGTAGGGGTAAACGTAGTCCTGCTCCTGTCTTTGAAATGCTGAGATAACATTGTTTTGTATTAATGTTAAGTTGGTAGAAATTAGTGTGGCAACCCTGCATCAATCAAAATTTTCCCTTTTCTTCAGAGTGAGTGTCATTTTAAAATTTTGCCATGAGGTAACGATGAGGAGTTGTTATATAGTACATATCCATGAACCTAGCAGAGCAAGGTCAGCAGAACACAGTCAAACATATTGCATAATTAGGTGCTAATTAAGTGCCCTATTCCCGAATTAAATGCTCTTTTTTTTTAAATTATTACATGTTTTGCCAGGTTCATATGAACTCAGCAGAACCCTACCTCAAAAACCAAGAAAATGAAAAGTGAACTAACTATAATTAGGTGCTAATTAAGTGCCCTATCCCCGAATTAGATGCTGCTTTTTTTTTTAAATTATTACATGTTCTGCAGGTTCATAGTTAAAAAAAAGGAGCATTTAATTCGAGAATAGGGCACTTAATTAACACATAATTATCAGCTAATTATAGTTAGTTCACTTTTCATTTTCTTGGGATTTTAAGGTAGTGCTCTGCTGAGTTAATATGAACCTGGCAGAACATGTAATAATTTAAAAAAAGCAGGAGCATTTCATTTGGGGATAGGGCACTTAATTAGCACCTAATTATAGTTAGTTCACTCTTCATTTTCTTGGGGTTTTAAGGTAGTGCTCTGCTGAGTTCATATGAACCTGGCAGAACATTTAATAATTTTAAAAAAAAGGAGCATTTAATTCGGGGATAGGGTGCTTAATTAGCAACTAAGTATGCAATATGTTTGATTTGTTCTGCTGACCTTGCTCTGCTAGGTTAATGGACGTTAGTACATTTTTATAACATGAGAAATGAAGTAGTAGCTAACGACAAACTGATTTTTTTAAATAACCGATTGATAATTCCCAGAACATTAAGAAAAAGTATTTTAGGGTTAGCTCATGAAATCCCTTGGGGAGAATAAATTAACGTAAATTTAACTATGTGATTTATTTATGTACAATTGAATTATAAATGGACCTTAAATAGATTGGTTTATAAGTTATTATTATTTATCACTTCTTGTACTCAAATTTATTACACAAGCGCGAATTTCACAATTCGTAACGTCCTGCATTGGGACTATTAAACACAATTCAATTTGCTTATGTACCAAACGAAAAGCTTGTAGATTCTAGAGTCGGTATATCACACTTATCGCCGGTGGCTAATCATTTCTCGACTTGATGGCGCCTTGATATGGCTCTAGAAAATTCGCTATAAGAAAATTAAAGAAAAAACATGTAGTTTATGTTATTGGCCAAATATAAATAATAAAATATTACCTTGTGATTTACGTTCAGAGTTGTTAAATTTGCAATAAATTTCAAATCAAAATTCTTCCTTTTATTCAGAGCTGCCTCACTAATTTCTACCAACCCCTTACTACTAAAGAAACATGTCATGTCTTAAAGTGACTAATGTGTGAGGCAAAACTACTGCTGAAGAAAAGAAAAGTAGAAAAAAAGAGGCTGTTGAGAAAGGTAAAACGAACGCGCAAGCTACAAAACAAGTTTCAATTAACCTTAAAAAACATATTTATGGATGTACCTGGTGGCCAAATAAGAATGGCCATATCTCAGAAACTAGTACACATAGAGCTTTCGGGTAAAAAATTATGTAATAAAAGTGGCCAAGAGAAATTGCTGGAAATATGGAAAGTGTATAAAATGACCATCAGAGGATGCAAACAGTCTTGATCAAATATAAAATTTTAATTTTCTCTCGATTGTATCTAATAAAGTGGTACCAAAGATATAATATCCATTCTTTTTTGTTTAACTTTTATTTCGTATCTTGTGAAATAAACTGGTGGGGGGAAATCAAATGTTTTTTTAAATAAATATTTATTTCCCAAGTTTGGCTTAATCGATTTTAGCAAACTTTGGCCTACCAACAGCCTATTTGCCCAATGAATAAAGGTTATTCATTGTATTTGCCTGGTATTTTTACGGTCGTCACTAGAGGGCGTTAGCTATACAGGATGTTCCAGAAGGAATCGGCAATATTTTGGGAAATTAAAGTAGAGGGCATTTGAAGAGAAAAACGCTAATAATCTATGTTTTTATTCTCAATCATTTCGAAGATATAGCCAACAATTGTCATTTTATTTTAACTACCTAGTTTAAATAAAGTAACTATAAATCAATTGTCTCTAGCCAACTATAGTAAATTTGGGGTAACAATTGAGTTGTTTTGAATCAGTGTGACTGCTTCAAAGGCTCAAAAATTTTACCTTTGTACGTTAATGCACTTCACCATCCTTCTTAAATTTTGCTTCATTTCGTAATTTATATTTATGCACTGTTTATTTGTATTCTATTGTTATTATTATTATTATCCCTCTCTTGTTTTGGGCCCTCAACAGGCATGCGCCCAATTACAGAGTGACCCGCATAATGCTATTTAGAGGTGCCTCTGCAGAAGGTCTTAAGTTGGTCTATACTACTCCGGTATTTATCTTACGAATTAGGAAAACTGCAGGAAAACCTAATTCGGAGTAGCTGGTAGAATGCTCGGAGCTGGTCTAAGGTAATTTCCATCTCCGCCACAGATGTAAAATTCACCTCAACCCAGGTTCGAACACCCGACCTTCGGATTCATAACCCAATGCTCTACCACTGAGCCATGAATCCCCAAGCTAACTATAGTTGGCTAGAACATTAAAACTAGGTACCTAGTTTTAACAAAATGACAATTATTGACTATATCTTCGAAACGGTTGAGAATAAAAATATAGTTTATTAGAGTTTTTGTCCTCAAATAACCTCTACTTTATTTTCCCAAAAGATTGCCCATTCCGCTTGGATCACCCTGTATGCTGTGATTTTTCTTGAAAAAATTATCTGGAACCTTTATTAAGAAGAACTGACTCAACCTAGTTGCGAAGGAAAGGGGTGTGCCTATGTGCGGGTTCCCCTGGTGAATAGAATAGAAGTTTGATCTGGCGTTTTAGAGTGGCTTAAAAATAAAGTATATTGCAATGGTAGACCCTCCATTTGGCAAAATGTTTCGGCTCTTATTAGTTTCCGCTTATATTCAATAAGGTTCCCTATTTGTTCTCCATTCTGATATCCCATTTGCGTTTGGGATTTTCTCAAGTGTTTATATTTAAACTTTACGTTATAGATATGGAAATTCCAAAAAATAAAAATTCAAGAACTCGGCTAACTCCTTTCGAATTAATCAATTTGTTACGTTCTAATAATTATTCATCTTTATCGAATGAATTCAGTAACAAAAAAAATACTATGATGGCTTCAGTTTTGAACTTAAATTTAGTCAACATATTGCGCGATCAGTCTATCCCCAAGTTGTTGGCTAACTGGGATGTGAAGAGGCGTGATGCAGAAGCCGTGTGGTTCATGAAGGGTATTATGGATGAATGCACACATTTGAAGAATTTCTCAATACCGTTCGACACCTCACTTATTTATGCCATTTGTGCCCTACATGATGGCTATGTTCCTAACAGCGGCTGTTGTAAATTAGAAGATGTGTGGCCTCAAGCGACTATAAGATATGTAAAAACGGGTCATGTTGGTGCGTACCTGTGGTATCTTCACTTATTTAGGTATGCAAATGAAATACATTTATTACTTTGTGTTTTCTAGGATCTTTTTTAGGAATACTATTGTCGAAGCGTTTGAAAGGGCAAAACTTGTGTGCCCTCCACCAGCTGTGACTTTCTCATAATTGAATGAATACATTCTTTACCAGTATTCCTTAAAATTCATATGTGAACTTATGTGCCTTTGATCTTTTGTATGATTCGCACTGATTGTACCTGACTGATTACCGATTAATTTTAAAATGTGATATTTTTGATATAGTTTATAAACTTACTAAAATGTTATACTTGCTACGGTGATCAAGTACTGCATTGATAAATTGCAAAGAGTGAGTATATATTCGCTGTTGTGTTTGATATTGAAACCCAATGTTTACAAATTAGAAAGTGTTGCAACTCAATACTAATTATTCCAAATTATATATTGGCTGCTGTATCTGTTTAGATGAATAGAAATTGTAACAATTTAGACAAAAGCAATAAACGTATTTTGTTAAAGTTGCAATTTAATGGTGTGGGTCCCAGTGACGCGGCAAAGAACTTAAATGAGAGATTCAACGTTAAATTCGGTAGATGAGTGGACCAAGCAGCATAAGTTCGGATAGCCCTGGACAAATAGAGCAATCTTCCGGTTAAGGGCATTAGAATGATACATAAGGGTCCCACTAAAAGCCACACCAAATATACCTACACCAGATTAGCCGCGGAATCAACTTAATAATGTATGCCACCGACAAATGGATGGACGCGATGGGCAGTGAAAAAAAATCCGATACAACTGAATACTGAACGATCCTCGAGATCTTCACACCTTATTGTAAAACAAATTTTTTAAATCAGCATTTGCTTTACTTTTATTCGAGGTGCCCACATCCAACATTTCATTTAATATTTTAACAAATCGGATTGCGCATGCGCAAGACAAATTTTGTGATTTGGCTCTACTTTTTCCGAAGTACCTAATCTCAAAATTTCCTTTCAATAGGTTAACAAATAAAAAAATCGTACTGCGCATGCGCCAAACAAATTTTTTTGTATCTACATTAGTTTACAGTAGGTACTTTTATTCGAGGTATACAAAATTTCATTTAAATATGTTAACAAATCAAAAAATTTGATTGCGCATGCGCACGTAGTTACTTTTGAACATGTGTACCAACTTTCAACGTGATTGGACGTTTCTATACAAAGTTATCCGGGCAGAGACCAATACAAAAAGATCGTTAATAAAATGTAAATTAGGTCTATCGCACTTTGTCGGCAGATTTCCTATGCGTCATTATGAAAACAATAAGAAGAATTAAGAAATTCCTACACAGAATCTAAGAAGTAATGGTAGATACTCATACGTGCGAACGACAATACCGCATTTTATTCGTACACCCAACCCTTACATGTGGTTTCTTTCCTGGTCTTTTGGTTAGGAATTAAAGATTTATCAAATCAGACTCTTGCCGAGGTGGCTCGTATTATGCATTCAAGCCACTTCAGATAAATAGATGCACAAGCATTACGTAAACGTTGTAAAATCTTTGCAAAAAATGATGTTTTATAACTTCACTTTCTCTAATGTCTACCGCCACGAAAACAGTACCATTGGGCATGCTCGTGAATCCTGATGGTAAATATTAAATGAAACCTTTTCAAGCTTTCTACAATATTTAACGCGCACAAAACCAAATTTGGAAACTGGCGCTACATTTGCTTTTATTCCAAGTGGCTATATGTATCAAATTTCATTTAAATCCTTCCATAAATAAGAAAGTTGTCACTGCGCATGCGCAAAACCAAATTTTTTTATTTTTTGGCCTACATTGCCAATTCACCAACTTCGATCTATAAATTTGATAAAGAACCCACCTACAAAATTTCATCGTAATCGGTCCATTCGTTATCGAGATTTCGTGCTAACAGACAGACAACGCAAAATTATAAACTCACTAGGAGCTCGTTAATATAATAATGGAAGATATGGGCACCTCCTACTTGGCACTGAAAAGGTCGGCTGAAGATTGGAAAGGATCGAGATCTCCATGCTAACAACCATACTGATGGTGGGTCACAGTCAGGGGAGGACTGGCCCGGGGAGGCGGGTGGCGATTGCCACCTGGCCTGTAGATCATAGTGGCCCGTTGGAAATTTATAAGTATATATATAAGTATGTGTTTCTCTAATATTGTGGTTGATGTTAGGTTGTTAAAAAATTCTGTTTTAATTGAAGTGTTTTACAATGAATTTATCATTTTTGTCGTAGTATTTTGAAAGTGCTGAAATACAATGATAGGCGACGCACCTCGTGTGGATTGTATATTTTGTTACTTTTAATTATCAGCTGCAATTTAAAAAAAACTGTATGGTAATTGATTTTCGAGAAAGGAGTACTTTAAAATGTTTCTGTGGTGCACCTCAGAGCTACCCCCCCCCCTCGCCAGCTTCATTACTACACTAATACTAAGTACCCAGTCCGCCCCTGTGTATAACCTTCCTTTTTTACCAAAATTCAACTACACCAAAATTTCTCGGGAAAACACTTTTTCTTATTAATTTTGGTGCGTAGAATCCAAATCAATTCGTACTTTTTCGATCAGACTTCTCAATCAAAAGTTATAGGTTAGAAAGCAATTTCGAAAGAAAATTCAAAGGGCTGTAACTTTTGAACTAGTACCCCAATCTTGGAACTGTTTGAAATTATGGATTCTACAGGCCACATTCTATAAGAAAATTTTTTTCCGGGTCGATCTGAGACAATTTTTTCTTCGGGCCTCAAAAAAAAGCAGTGTATAACCTTCCTTTTTTACCAAAAATCGACTGCACCAAAATTTCTCGGGAAAACACTTTTTCTTATTAATTTTGGTGCGTAGAATCCAAAACAATTCGTACTTTTTCGATCAGACTTCTCAATCAAAAGTTATAGACTAGAAACCAATTTCGAAAGAAAATTCAAAGGACTGTAACTTTTGAACTAGTAGCCCAATCTTGGAACTGTTTGAAATTATGGATTCTACAGGCCACATTCTATAAGGAAATTTTTTTTCCGGGGCGATCTGAGACAATTTTTTTTTCGGGGCTCAAAAAAAGGCAGTGTATATAAAACTTTCCTTTTTTACCAAAGTCGACTGCACCAAAATTTCTCGGGAAAACACTTTTTCTTATTAATTTTGGTGCGTAGAATCCAAAACAATTCGTACTTTTTCGATTAGACTTCTCAATCAAAAGTTTTATGGACTAGAAACCAATTTCGAAAAAAAATTCAAAGGGCTGTAACTTTTGAACTAGTAGCCCAATCTTGGAACTGTTTGAAATTATGGATTCTACAGGCCACATTCTATAAGAAAATTTTTTTTCCGGGTCGTTCTAAGACAATTTTTTTTTTCGGGGCTCAAAAAAAGGCAGTGTATAACCTTCCCTTTTTACCAAAAATCGACTGCACCAAAATTTCTCGGGAAAACACTTTTTCTTATTAATTTTGGTGCGTAGAATCCAAAACAATTCGTACTTTTTCGATTAGACTTCTCAGTCAAAAGTTATAGACTAGAAACCAATTTCGAAAGAAAATTCAAAGGGCTGTAACTTTTGACCTAGTAGCCCAATCTTGGAACTGTTTGAAATTATGGATTCTACAGGCCACATTCTATAAGAAAATTTTTTTTTCCGGGTTGATCTGAGACAATTTTTATTTCGTGGTTTAAAAAAAGGCAGTGTGTAACCAGGGGCGCACTGGCCCGGGGGGTGGGTGGCGATTGCCATCTGGCCTCTAGATCATAGTGGCCCGTTGGAAATTTATAAGTATGTGCTGTATTTAGTTTCTTGCACTATTAATAAATTATTAACACGTTTCTCTAATTGCGGTTGATGTTAGGTTGTTAAAAAATTAAAAAATTCTGTTTTAATTGAAGTGTTTTACAATGAATTTATCATTTTTTGTCGTAGCATGAAAGTGATGAAATACAATGATAGGCGTCGCGCCTCGTTTGGATTGTATATTTTGTTAGTTTTAATTATCAGCTGCAATTTAAAAAAACCTGTATTGTAATTGATTTCCGAAAAAGGAGTACTTTAAAATGAAGCAAAAAATGTTATTGTGGTGCACCGCAGAGCTACCCCCCCGCCACCTTCATTACTATACTAATACCCCCCCGCCACCATAATTACTACAGTAATACTTTAATGGCCCGTAACCTATGCAATTCCATCTGGCCCGCAGTTACTCAGTCCGCCCCTGGTCACAGTGCATCGCTCTTTGCCGAGATCAGGCCGATTTTATAACCGGCGTCTTCGGTGCATTACTGATGGATGCTTATTCTAACTAACGGAAGTGTTATATTATAACGAAAGCAGAAACAAGGCAAAATATTGTTTGCGGAAGCAAAAACGGAAGTTTGATAAAAACTAGAATAATTAGTCATATAAATGTAGTATATTAAACTATATATATGCGAAAAAACGCACGAACTAATGAGATGAATGAGAGTAAACAAAGACAAAGCGCTCACGTCACGTGCCAATCAGAGCGCATCCTTCCATATTTGAAAAGCTGGGTATACTTCCGTTATCAAATAGCAGAACCGTATGGGGAAAAATATGCAGAACTTCCGCGCTTGCGGAAGTAGAGGTCTGTTGCACTATTACTGCAAAAACCCATAATGGACCAATATCACACATAATATTCCTGCAATTACGATGTCCACAACTCTGACACAAATCACAGAACAGCTTTGTTTGAAAGGTCATTCAGTTACACGGTCCATCATATTTATAACAATATACCGCTAGCATTAAAAGATTTGCCACTTTCAATATTTTGTATCAAGCTCAGAAAACTTTTATTACAAAATCAGTAAGTACCTATGCGTAGCCAAATTAAAATTTCATTATATATAAATATGTCCCCATAATGCCTTATTTTGTTTTTCACACATTTTAGTTATTAAATGCATTGCTCATTATCACGAATTATGGTTTGTTTTGCATTTCAAGGGTTAGGTGGAAGAGTAGTTTATACTGAACCTCCCCTTGTGGTTTGGTTTCTGAAACTAGTAGTTATTTTCCGTTTCCTTTTTTTTTTAAAAAAAAATATGATTTAAACCTTTTTTTTTTGTAGCTTATGATTTAATGGAAACCAAATAAAGACTATTATTATTATTATTACCCTGTAGTGTGTAGATGGGCTGTCTGAATCCAAGAAACCTGTTCAACTGCAAGTATCAAATTGCAGAACTGTTGATACTGAATGCAAAGTAGAGGCAATGGAAAATAAATAATAATGACTTGTTCGAATAGAAATTAGGAAAATTTAAAGTGATGCAGAAACCTCTAGAGTGGCTATTTTAATGATTGCTTTTAAATGTCCCGTAATCAACCCAAACTTCTGTCATTTATATAAGTTGCCCAGTTGAGTTTGATTTTAAATAATTTACTTCCTAATCTACTCCCTATACTTTAAAGTTGTTGGGAATTAAAAAACAAAATAATGTCCTTATAAAATGTATTTTAACTGTGATTAATAGAAACACGATACAGGTTAACCTAATCTATTAATAATATTAAACTGAATATACAAACGTCAACCAGTTACACTAGAAGACCATATTAATATTTATATGCATATAATTTATAGAGCTGGTAAAATAACAATGTAAAAAATAAAAATATATATACCTATATAAGACTGATAGGTTATTTTTCCAGATCAATAACAATAAAGATAGGTACTCTAACTTTTAACAAAACATTCTACTGTACGCATACACACACAAAGCATTTGTGTTACACAGTACCTGTTGTTTCATTAAACTTCTAAGATATTAACGTAACATGATAAATATACAAAATAAAAAGATTAAACAATTTCTAAACTTAAGCCGAGTTATTCCTGCCAGAAATGAAAAATTTTGTCCATGTAGAAAAATCCAGTCTCATTCGCAAGGCAGCATTCGTAAACCAAATTATAGAAAAATAATCACAAAAGTGTATCAAAATTCCTTCCGAGTTACGCTTGATACACGATCCAGTATAAACTGCTTATAGAGATACATTTAACGGGTTCTTATTGACGGTACGAAGAAACCATATTTACTTAGCCATAAGCCGACACCGGCACCCAGTAAAAGAGATAGAAGATTCGTTAAAAATAACGTACAGAGACCCTTGCGTGAGAAAACACTGTTATCGCCTACACGTGCGTAACGAATGCTTAGGACGTCTCTTTTAGGATGTCTGAAGCTCCAGTTCTTTGGTGGAAGTTGGTCCGGGCGACTACTCCAATCGTTAAACAAATCAGCTTCCTATAATAAAAACTGATTGTTAGTTTATGATAGAGCAACAAATTAATCTAATAAAAATTATTTAGTTTGGTAGTTGCCATGCGAAATAAACCAAAAACAGTTCCCTTACCTCCTTCGCTTCACTGTTCATATAATACGATTGCCATTCCATTATTAGGGGTGTACCTTGAACTGGACTATTTGGAGGTGATTTGGGACTACTCCTAGGAGAATCGCGCCTCGATCCAGCTAGCGAAACTCTAGCAGAGGACTGGTTCGATTCTCTTTGTGCTTCTCGTAGTAAGCGTAAATATTCTTCCGCCGAAACTTGTGGCGTAACAGATCCGGGAGTACCACCACCTTGCGAACCACAAGTTGAGGATGCCGTGACATCGACCCAAGATTCTATAAGAAATGCATAAAGATGAAACAATGGACGTTATGAACAACAACAATAATGTAAACAACATTTTGAATGTGAGCATGCCAGCTGGAACGTAAACAAGAGTATCTCACCTCCAAGAAGATCATCGACACTCGATTTTAATGACATTTTTCACACGTTTAACGTCGCAATACTCGGAGAATAACGTTCGCCTTTTTTACGTGTAATGACAAAGGATTTTCGTTTGTATTTCTTACTACACAAATCACAGACAAATAAAGGTCTACGTGACTTGTAATCTCATACACAAACAATGCACAAGCAAACAAATTTAGTCTTTGTGCACAAATACACAGAGTTAAGTTTGCAATGGCGGCATTACTACTAACGGTAATTAGTGGTACTAATCATTCTTTCCTTGTCTTCCTTTTGCCTTTTTAAAAATTGATTTCAAATTCTGAAAAGCGATTAAATAAATTAATAAATAACGTTATCATGCAGAGGGCCTTAATTAATTTTTATAATGTTTACTACATTACAATAAAAATGATTTGTTTCTATTGCGTAGTATTCAAACGTATATACGTAGCTGCTCTTGTTTATCAGCGGCGACTCGTTCCTACGACGGGGGCCTTTTATAAACAATTTTTTTTTATTTCCGTGGTTTATCAAAAAGCCAAAGTTTTAAATTGCGAATTTTTCCAAACTGACTCCAGGTGATATCAAAACATTTTTATTTATTACCGATTTCGTGGAGGAAACGGCAAGCAAAATGCACTATCTGGGAGCGACACGTTAAACATCTTTCAGACAAGTGTCTGGCTAGCATTGATCTTCTTTTCCCTCAGAATCTTGTCATGGTTCGCCACGGTTATCTTCTGCATCCCGTTCTCCTCGACCACTATACCCTTCTCCTCCACCAATCCCCCCTCAGCACATATGCCCACAGAATTGCAGTCCCAATTGAAACCAAAATCCCTATTGTCTTCGACGTGACCATCGCCATCCCCCACCTTAATTACTTTCACCAGCAAGTCCACCGCTAGCGGACACCTCCAACACGGGATCTTCATGTTTCGCAAACACTGTCCATTCGAACCAACCTATATCCCAGATCCCACACCAAAATACTGGTCCCAAATGTACCAAAATCTTGGGAGGTGGAGTACTCTGCAGCGACTGAGCGACCGCGTAACGACTCACGGCAAACTATAACCGCCTCTTATGATTCGCCCGTCTGACTATCCAATCAGAAGAAAGCGAGCGATAGAAAACTGCCCAGAAAAGCAGTAGGTGCCCCGTGCTCCTTGGCACCGTCAGCGCATCATCATCAAGCATCATGTGGCCAACAACCAGCAGGTATGTATATGTAAATAAATATTAGTTCTTCAGTATTATTTAGAGCTAAACACAAGAACTGTATCATAGAGGAAATACAATTTACTCTATGACTGTATTTATACACCAATTTCATCGGGGCGGGGCAACCGCAAAATAGCATTAATGCACGGGAGCTAAATTTTGCGCTCTTAAGGTAGGCATTGAATAAAAATTTATTCAATGGGTAGAGTAAAATCTTCATTTATCTAGTAATTTTGTTCCGGAATAAACTGCAAAAATGCATTGCCTTGATGAATAAGTACCTGACTTAGTACTATTTCCGTGTTTAATCTTTGGTGTTGGTTAATTGTGCGGACCGGTGGAGGTACCCAGCGGGCACGTCATCGGGTGGCGGATGGAGGACGCGCACACAGACACCCGAGTATGTTTGTAAAGTAACCCGTGTTTCCGTGTGTGCAGTGAAGATTATATAAGTGGCTCGTACAGGGGCTAAACGCCTGACTGATAGCAACGAAGGTCGTCGCCGCGGAAGAACCTCCTGGCTCCTAAGGTGCTAGCGACTGCGCCAAGGGCTGCGTGGCACTGCGGCGCCGTCTCCACAACGATGCCCTTCTGATACCGGGAAACCTCTGAGTGGTGACTCCTTCCTTTCGGGACGGAGGTGGCAGCCAAGTCTTGGGTAAGCGGTTTGGCCCAGGTGTGAAACTGCATTTTCGCACTACTCGTGGGAATTGTATGGACGACTAAACAAACGTTTGTACCCTTTCTAGACTCCTCGACAGAGGACACCAACAAGTCGGGTACCGAGGCCGGTTATACTCGAAAGAGGGGACGGTGCAGGGCCTTAATCAAAGACCTGGTGGTGACCCCAGCCCCTAGTCGCAAGAAGAATAGGACTGGCCCATAAAAGACGATATGATCGGATCCACCGGTTCTCGATGGCAAAGCCTCGGGTCAAGCGGGACCCAAGGGCCACCAGAGGGGGGGAGGCAACTGGGGCGATTTGCCGCAAGCCCCCGATTTCAAAGGGCCCCCGTGTTGGCCGTGGATCTGTGAGGATGAATGAAACAGCAATAGAGTTGCCGTTGCCACATTTTCATTTGTACTTCCGATGATGCCAGTACATTTCTAAAATAACATTTTCTTTGAAATTTTTTCTATTCCACAACAGGGACCCAAAATTTACTTTGTCCCAGGCCCCTGAAATTGTCTGGGCGGCCCTGCACCATATAGCCTAAGACCGGTGGCTCGTCAAGGGCGTAACTCGACGTCGGCGACCAATAAGCGTCTCAGAACAAAGGGAAGCACTCCAGGGTGTCGCTCAAGAAAACTATGAGCAAGTCGCTGCGGGGTTGCACCCGGAGGTGGACATCACTGAGCCCTCAGTCGAAGTGTATTATGGCTGCATTGCAGTTGTTCACAAAATAGAAGGGGGGGGGGGGGGGCTTTCCTCGGCTGACGACAAAGTTCCGCTGGAATCCGTAGAGTGCCACATTGAGACCGAATGCGAAGAGCAGTATAGCAAGGTCTACTGTTAGTGTTGGAGGACCGTTCCTGGGGTGGCGCGCCTCTGAAAGTGTAGCGACACGTCCCTAAGGTAACGAGGGTGTTGGCTCTGTTATACGGGCTCCCGAATGACACGGTCGCCATTTTGAAGCCCCTCCAGAGGAAAAATCCTGGTTTCAGTACGTCCTTTTGCAGGGACGAAAGCGAGTGCTCTGGCTGCGCCTGATAAGGGAGAGGGCTCTACTGCAGCAGCGGGATCCAATTTCCTTGCAACGGAGGGTTTCGCAATCGACCTCCAAAGGGCGTCAGGATTTCTACGGACGCCCTTAGAGGTCAAGGAAGATGTCGACGAGCTTTCGTGTGGCGGTTCTTGGCTCCGGGTTCGGAACCGTCGGCATCACTAGGGGGGAGAGGGAGGAAACCTAGTACATATCAGTGCCGACTCGTGTGGCGCAGTTGAATTGAAGCGCGACAGTTGAACTAAAAGGTGCCGTGGTTCGGGCATGGATATCTGTAAATGTATAGTGGATTGGGTTGTTGGAGCAGTGTTGGCTGAAACTCTGCCCACTCAAAAATAAAGACCACAATAAATAAATATTGCCCATGTAACCTACTTACAGAGCAATTTGCAGCACAGTAAGGGGGAACCTCAACTTGGTAAAGCAGACAATGCCTCATACAAGAACCTTGGGTTTACAGGGGACGAGTAACCGAGGCCTGGGCTAGGTGGAGGACTATCTTTATCGTAAGAGGGACAGCCAACTGAACCCTAAGGATTTGCATTTATGTCAAGTAGAAAAACTCCCAAGTCTCCTGGATACATACTTTCCAGACTCTGGAGACTATATAACTTCCGACCCACCGAAAGGAGCTACCCGGGTCTATGTTAAAAGGCTTTATATTCAAAGGTAAAGGTGATAGAAGGGCCTAGAGCCACTGGTCTCACATTTGTTGCACCTCTTTAGATACTCCCTGGTTTTAGGGTATATCCCCGAAAGCTGGGGAAAGGTAAGAGTTGTGGACGTACCTAAGCTGGGTTGGTCCTTCTGAAAACGGTGGAGAAGATGATATATGCATACATAAAGAATGGGACCACTATACATTCATTCCAACATGCTTACAGGGGCGGTAGGTCCACGGAGACTGCTCTACAGTCTCGTGTGAGGGCTGGGGAAGGAAATGTTTGGCGGGGTAGCCCTGGGTGCGTTTAACACCACGTTTGATTCAATCCATTAGGCTGCTAAAGGCTTTGGCATTGATGGGCCAATCTTAAGATTCTGGTCGTCCATAAGTGTGGCTGATTTTCGTACTTGAAGCCTTGTATTCTAGTTATGCCTACTCCTTTTGTAACTTCACCATCCCTACTTTCCTTTCTCCACCAATCCACAGGTACCCACTCTTCTTCCTACTAATTTTAATACAGCAAATAAGAAAAACTATGCTATACAGTGAAAAGTAAAGGAAAATGATTAATGTATTAGGGTTATTTTGTAATAGCAATAAAACAGCTGCATTCCAGGTTTGGAAGATATGTTATAGAGATGTATTTTATATTAAACAGCTTCTATGTAGGTAAGATAACAACGTATAGTAGGACCATTATGTATACAAGACATTTATCTATGTATGTGTTTAAACACTAACACATACGAAGCAAGCAACATGCAAAAATATTTAATCGAGCTCACTAGAAGATTCATAAAATAATGCGGTAAAAAATTACTAAAGATGGAACGATGAGAATGCAAAAACGCAAATAAACATGACAAATAGATATAAAATAACATGTGTAACAGTAGTATATAATACAACAATTTAAAACAAAACATTAAGTTAAAATCTTCTATAGTGGCTTGATGACCATAGTAGAACACGTCAATTACGCTAACTCTAAACGCCTCATTTCCTTTGACATAGTTATTCCCATTTGTGCAGGTGATTTTGTTACAACTACACCGGCCTGAAAGTACAAACTTAAAGTGAGCACACTAAAGGAATTTGGTGAACTTACCTTCTCCAGTGCATTAATTTTGTCACGAGCACCACCTTTGCCTCCAGAAATGATGGCGCCAGCATGTCCCATCCTACGGCCAGGTGGTGCAGACAGTCCAGCAATGAACGACACTACCGGTTTTGCATCTGGCCCCTATACATTAATAGACAATTTATCGCACATTAGTTGTATTTTTTATTATTAGGTTTTTTCCAAAAAAATGGTGTTTGAAAAAAACCTGAATCAGTTTTTCTTTTTTTTTTAATTTCAAAAGTCAAAGTTGGATGCGTGATCTTTCTGAAATTTGAATGCCACCTCTTTTTAATAAAGGCAAACTAATCGCTAATATCAAATAAGAAGGGGGGGGGGGGCAATTTTGAATTTGAAAATCTTGAAACCAAAGCATCAGAAGAGGGTAGTTATACAGGGAAAATTATAAAAGTCGACGCGTACCGTCCATAGGGTCAAAACTTCAATTTTGATTATTTCAAAAATGGAGCGCCGAAAGAGGAAACCTACAGAGCTGTTGACAAAGTGCATGCGTGTCATTTTTGTTTCCTTGTTTGATTTTGTTTTAAAGAGTCCACATGACACCTTTTAGTGCACATAAAAGAATAGCCTCTGCCCAATTCAAAAATTACAAAATTTTTTTAAACTCTTTTTACATGATTGACCTCCCTGAAGTAGACAGGGCAAGTTGAGCTCAAAAATTGTTCAATGTTTTATTACTATGAGCTTTTTTTAAGCTTTTCAACAGTACCGTTTGAAATTTTTGAGTTCTTACAGCCAGTTCACTAATCAATTTTTCTCTTGCTGCAACACAACCACCACCTACAAATTAACGAAGTACCATGAAGAATAATGTTGTAGGTAATTCTGTAGCTACTACCTGCAGTAATGTTAACTACTTGTTTTAAGTAATATTCCTGCAACAGTACGTCAGTTTCTCCTAGCTCATAGCTCTTAAAAATGATAAAAAAATCTGTGGTTTGTTTTCATATTAAATTAACTTGGATTCCGCGTAGCACTGCTTTCTTATGCTACAAACTTACCTACGCCCCAGCCTTACTGGTCCCACTTACCGAATTGTGCTTTAAGAGATATTCCGCAGCATTTTCTTCGGCAACTCCACCAATTTCTCCAATAAGAATAATTCCCTTAGTTTTCGGATCCTGTAAAAATACTTCTAGGCAGTCTATGAAGTCGGTACCGTTAAACGGATCACCGCCGATGCCGATACATAACGTTTGGCCTAATCCGACTTGCGTAGTTTGATGTACGGCTTCGTACGTTAACGTGCCCGATCTTGAGACAACTCCTATTCTACCTTTCTGGTGTATGTGACCGGGCATTATGCCAATTTTACACTGCAAAAAAAAGGCAGTTGGCTTATTTATAATGACGATGTAAAAAAATTACTTCTTCGGGGGCAATTATTCCGGGACAGTTAGGGCCGAGCAAGCGTGTTTTGTTCTGTCTCAATAGTTTGTGCTTAACTCTAACCATGTCCTGCTGTGGAATGCCCTCAGTGATGCATACGATGAGAGGAATTTCGGCATCTATGCCCTCCATAATGGCAGCTGCAGCTCCTGGAGGCGGAACGTAGATGACAGTCGCATCGGCACCAGTTGCATTCATCGCCTACAACAAAAGGTAGACGACACTTCCACAAGATGCAAACGTACTTCCTTAACAGTATTAAACACTGGCTGACCAAGATGCATCTGGCCTCCTTTACCAGGAGAAACTCCGCCGACAACATTAGTTCCATATTCTATAGCTTGTTTACTATGAAATGTCCCTTGTTTACCGGTAAACCCTTGGCATATCACTTTTGTATTGCTATTAATTTTTAAATTTTTGCGAGTGGCCTCATAACTGTTAAATCGGACAATCTGAGTATGTCTTAGACTTCCAGCTAAAACAAAACCAAAATCGATTCAAAGTTGGGACCGAAATGCACAGGAAATGAATACTATTGAAAATAGGAACTTATATAATATTATTTAGCTATTATTACATACGGGCTCACCTATTATTCTAGAAAACATCCTACTTAACACAACCATATTTGAACAAAAGCAGTAAGTAACAATTGAATTGTAAGTTAAAAATAAGCCGTTTTTATAAATTTAACCATAATAATTTAAATATTCAATGGATAAGATATCTGTTCTTGTTAACCACAATACAAGGAGTAGCTGAAATGAGAGAGAGAAGACAAAGTACAAAAAGCAGCTGACTTAATACAGGGCGCTACTATCACCTTTATTATACAAGGTGTCTATGTGAAAATTTTCAACAGGTTTATACAGGCGCAGTTGCGTCTCGTAAAGTAGGCCTAAAAAAAATAACGGCCAACTTTCCGAAATCAACCACAAATTTTAAATAAATTGCCAAACTATTATTAATGTACCTTTTTCATAATTTAATTCGCCACTGCACCATAATTCGTACCTCCGCCATTTTTTTTTCAGTATTATTCTATATAAAAAACACTTGTGGCCATTGTTCTTACATGTCGTCGAGTTGGTCGGAAACAGATTTTTCAAAGGTTCCAAGGGTGTAATGGAAAAGGGTTTTGTTATAGACTTATTCGAAGTTCATCCGATGTTGTGTCATGAAGTTGACCGTGGAACCTGATTTTCCGAAAATAGATGAGGCACAAGGTTTCTCAGTATATTTTGACCCCCGCTTTTATTTTCATTAATTTTGGGAACACAAAAAAGTTTCAAATAATAAGGTTTTCTTATTTTATTATTACCAGCACTACGCGCAACCTGGCCAACCTCTCCTACACTCCATACTCGACCTATCCGGAAGTGGACTGCCGTTTGTCCGAGACAAGTAGGGGTTGTAGTGAGCTTGGTTTGCTTCCTTCCGAATTTTATATAATTTTACAGATCGTATAATTTGAAAGAGCTGGGAATTTGCCCACGTTTCTGTGTAATCTGTTGATCTATCTGGGAAATTACATGTTTCTGTAAACCTAGTTCCTCGAATTAAGCGATATCGGCAGCCATAAACCCTACGATTGGTTACAAATACATTCCCTCCACTGCCCAGGGTAACGAAGCGAATAGCATAAGTGATGCATATGAATGAAACAGTGACTATGGTAGCAACCAAAGACAGCATCGCAGACCAGCTACCGCCGTCTAGCTGTCTCTCCTGTCGTGGGCAAGGGCTTGAACGGGATTAAACGGCGCCGACATGTATTCACATTCACATGCGCCAACCATGTCGATATACCATGCACTAACCGGTTGAGCTTAGGATGGTGCGGGGGTTTTTGGCTTAGCCGCCTGGACCAAGAGGAGACAGCTTCAGCAAATATCCTAAATCCGAAGGGTCCACAATTACTGGCTCCAAACTCGGAGCACCAGGCGCCACTCCATGAATTAAGTCGCCTTATATACACGTGTGTAGAGGCACCGTGAGTGTGTACATTTTTTCCCCCATATACTCGGACTTATATGGACCAGGAAAAAGAAAAACTACATCCTGATAACCTGGTATTGGGGAGCCTAAAAAACACAATGGGGCAGCGTGCCGGAAGCTAACAAAAATGCACCAAAAAACCAGGGAGAGCTAAGAAGCCTTTGACCTCACATATCGATATCTGCTGAAGTTGGGCAACCTGGGCGCTCTAAAAGCCGCTTTACATTAGGCAATTTTCGTGCAATGCAAGAGCAATGCAAGTTAGAGATACGTTACTGCGCATGTTCATACGCAATTCAGGTGCAAGAAAAATAAATAGAGAAAGTTCTATTTCACTTGCAAGTTTGGCGCAAGTTCTAGTAACTTTTCTAGTAATTTTGTCAATACCACAATTTATTTGGTTTCGCGTGTGTTATTTTGTGTGTTTTTTTTAATAGCAAGTCCCACCACATAATAAGCTGTAGCCAGCTTAATTTCCTTTTGTTTGCTCATACCTAATGGTCAATTTTATTAAGTTTCAAGAATAACCTTCGGTGTAAACAAACTGAAAAGTTTCAATTTTTGAAAAATATGTTGTCAGTACTGCAACACTTTTCTGAACTTGCACAAAAGTTGCAACACAATTGCATAAATGTAAAACCGTAATAAGCAATGCAAGGCAATTTTAGATTGCATAGCACAAGCCTTGCATTGCACTAAAATTGCCTAATGTAAAGCGGCTTTAAGCGAGCAGGAAACGCGCCTACCAAGGCTGCACTGAAAATTGGGACGCAAAAGCGACACCGATCTGAAGGTAGCACTTCCAAGGGAAGCAGCTCGAAAAAGGCAAAAACTGGGACCGTCGATCGTAAGATGGATCCGAGACGTGCTCGAAAGCAGAGTCATTATGTCCTCAATTGGGATTACGGAAATGAGCTCATCGGTCACTAGAGGATGTCCGCAGGGTGGTGGGGTGTTGTCTCCACTGCTGTGGTGCCTGGTACTAGACGGGCTCCTCCGCACCTTGAACGAGGGGGGAGCGTATACACAGGGATACGCGGACGATCTCGCGATCGTCATAACTGGGAAGTTTCCAAACACCGTGAAAGAACTCATGCAGGGGGCTCTTGAACAGGTGGATATGTGGTGCAGTAGCCATGGCCTTTCCGTTAACCCGGAAAAGACCGAGGTTGTTTCATTCACGAATAGAAGGAGAGCGGATCTTACTGGGCTCGCTCTTCGAGGACGTCAACTGGGTCTGACCAGGTCAGTGAAATACCTGGGAGTCATCATTGACTCCCGCCTGACCTGGAAAGGGCACATTGAGCGCATAAGCAAAAAGGCCACTGCATGTCTATGGGCATGTAGAAGGGCTTTTGGTTGTACATGGGGCTTGAACCCTCGACTGGTATACTGGCTTTACACTGCAGTGATAAGGCCAATAATACTGTATGGTGCACTTGTATGGTGGCCTGCCATGCGCAGGGTAACCTACAGGAAGCAGCTAGGAAAGGTCCAGCGACTCGCCTGTCTGGGAGTCACTGGAGCCCTAAAAACCACGCCAACCTTGGCCATGGAGGCACTTCTGGGACTAGAGCCTTTACACTTAGCTGTGGAGGCAGAGGCTCGGAAAGCTTCCATACGGCTAAACGATTGGGACGAGTGGAAGGACCGAGGCAGCATTGGGCACGGCGGAAACCCTCTGAACCGATCCCCTCCTCGCAAGAAGGGATGCGATCCGGGTTATCTTGCTAAGTAACAAAGTGTTATAAAAGTCATACGTACCACGTATTAACCATATGGCAAAAATCCGCCGTTCTGATTGGCCCACGGCGAAACGCAGTACGTTTTGTCCAGCTAGAGACAGTTATCTGGAACCGGGGAGGGTGAAGCAGGCTAAACAGGGTTCTATCCTTCATTGAGAGGAACGGGCTCTGAACTCAGTTGCGAAAGAAAGGGGGTAGACACAATGGGCCTCTGGTGTGCCTGGTCGGGCTCCCCTGAGGATAGAAAGACACCACCTCTGCCAATGTGACGCTTTATGCATCAAAAAAAATTTACAACGAAGATTCGCCCTATCAAAATCCCACCTTTTTTCCTATGGCGCGAACAAACGCTTTATCAATCGTGCGAGTGCGACGGTCAAAAGCTCTAAAGCATCAGGTGCCGAATGCAGTTACGTTTAAAACTGGCGCGCTTGAAAACCGGAAGTCGCATCAGTTCACCGTTTGACAGGTGAGGGCGCACTTTAAACCGTCAAATCTTTCTCTAACTATCAAAGTTTATTTAACTTTTAAAACTTAATTTGCGAGAATGGATGGCGAAAAACCAGCTGTGATGTGGCTACACCACATCGGTGGAAGCGTAAGTCACTGTTAAAAGTCACAGTCCACGACAAAGTGCATTTTTTAGCATGGCCGAGCTGCAACGATTCTTGAACGGTTCATTGATGCAACTACGGATGTGCCCCGCTTGCATTCCTTAGAGGGGTACTCGTCCTACGAATTAAGCGACCACCTCGCTAACTTTATACGCGTCCAGTCATTACTAAAGGAATATTCCCCTGATTCCCTGTATTACTTCTGCTTAGGTAAACTGACAATACTTGCAGACTTAGTGACTCTTTTCTTTCGTAGGAATACAGTGGTACCTTCATGCGTGTGGTCGCGTCGGTAATATATTTTTTCACGATACTTTCATGGATTGCAGAAAATTGTTGAACCAATTCGCACTGAAATTTATTGGCTCCTATTATGATGATCCGAGTAAGTAATTACGTGCTTAGTACGTTGAGTAGCTTGTTACCATTTTTAAGTATACATCTCCACCTGTGTTTCGGAGAAGTACTTGTGGGAATCTGATCACCTAAGTCCAAAGTGGCCACACACCTTATTATGGACGGTGGTGTATTTGGTGATGAAGTACTTTAAACTGTCGGTAAGTATCTTTACGGTTGTGCTATTTAAATAATTTACTTCTTCGCAGACAGTGGAAGAGCACAAAGCTCTAAAAATGAAAAATTTATTTAAACGTGAGACACGTGATCGAGTCAAGGGGAAACAAAGCTATTTTTTCTATTTTCTACAAGAATCACGAGGTTGATTTCATTGTCTTTGAGTTTTTTTTTGAAACTTTAAATCTTTAGGGACACAGTATTGCAAGCGACAACTGCTACCAGATAAGAATCCTTCACGATGCCCTGTGGAAATAATGAAAATATACTTATCCAAGTGGTAAGCATATTTGAGTATTGAGAGTTGTGTCTATTAGCTCTTTTAGTCCCCGATTGCCAAAGATGAGAGACTCATGCCTGTACCTGAAGCCTATTTCAAGATGTGATCTGGAGAGTCAGCCATACTGGTTCACACAAGAGGAACTACCTGATAAAGACCTGGCTGAAATGCTTAATAGATTTAAAATGGTATCTGAAATTACAGAGCTATTTGTGAAAGATCGCATAACATCATTAATTCCATGGTATTAGAACTCGTTCTTGTATCTATAGTTTGTTGATTACATCCCCGCAAATAAAGTATTTATTTTGGTTCATTTATTATAGGTACTTTACTTAATAGTATCAGGTGTGTTGGTTAGTGCCCTAAAAAAATTATCCAGCATTACCATAAAATGCACAAAATTTATATCATAATTTGATTCAATCAGGTGAACCTACCTGTCCAGAACCGAAAAAAGGTTTTTTAAATCCCTCAAATTGATAATCCAGGATAATAATAATCAACTAAATATATAAAGATCGCCTCTATAACTACAGCATATTCCACTACAAAAAGAACACCTTGAATTCCATATGCCACTTGTTTGTAGGAAATCTTACAAATTATGCCTGTACAACTCTTTCTTCTTCAAGTATTTATAAGGGGACCCGTTGTGCCTACCCCCTTTTCTTTTGCAACTAGGTCCAGAGCTCGCTCCTCTAGGATAGGACCCTGTTTAGCCTAAGTTACTTTGCCCTCCCCGGTTCTATATATAATTGTTGCCCAGGAGTTGATGTCTGCCTCTGCTCAAGGTGTCACAGTGACAGACCATATGCCACAGAACCTGCACGTGGCCACTCCTTCAAAGCCAATATGTTGTGCAGGTGATAGTTGACCATTTCAGTGCCTCGTGAGGACACCAGTGATATTCGTAATCTGCCTTCTTTTCAGTTTTTGGCTTAGAAGACTCAGATTTGCCAAGGGGCACTGAACTGTCCGAGTCCAGTTGTTTGTTGCCACCGTGCCTGCCTGGAATTGGGAGCAATTCCTACCGAGTATGCTCGAACCAGCTGAAGACCCCACTACTGCCTTTGTAGGCCAGCTCGTACACCCTTTTTCGTTGTCCCCTATTTAGACTCACCTAATACATCTAGAATTACTCTACAGTGACCCGCATAATGCTTTTCAAAGGTACTCCTGCAGAAGGTTTTAAGTTGTTCTATACTACTCCAGGTCAGGCAGGAAAGTCTATGATGATTCCCAAATACTTTACTGACCTGGTCAAACGTACTCAAAGAATGAGGTCCGGCCTCCTTTTATTCGTAAATGGAACTATCTCGGTCTTTTCCGCATTAACGGAGCCGCCATGGCTACTGCACCACCTGTTCAAGAGCTCCCTGCATGAGCTCTTTCACGGTGTTAGGAAACTGGCAAGATCGTGCGCCTATCCCTGTGTATACGCTCCCTCCCCCTGGAGGAGCCCGTCCAGCCCAGGTACCACAGCAGTGGAGACAATACTCCACCCTGCAGAAATTCTCTAGTTAAAGAAGAGGTCATCTCCGTCTACCCGATGGAGGACCCCTGCTTCTGAGCATGGCGCAAATCCATTCTACCATTGACCCATCAATGCCAAAGCCTTCAGTAGCCTCACTAATGGAATCAAACATGGTGTTGTTAAACGCACCCACCGGCCTGTGTGGCGCATCAGTGCCGTGGAAACGCGACTGATGTGGTACTAGGGGTCTGGGCGAATCTGGGTTCGGGGATGGATGTTTGTCGATATGTATAGTGGGTTGACAGTTGTGGAGGGTCGACATGCATTAATTGTCGGTAAGGTCGTGGTTAACTTTTGGTGTAGTTAATTCTAGAGGGTTAATTCTGCATGTTTGGCAGAATGGCACAGGATTTCCTTGTACAAAAAATTGTATATCTGTGAAGTGCGCCCTCTTTTTGAGATATTTGTATTTAAAACTATCGACCCCACAGACAGTGTGTGTGTGTGTGTTGTGTTTTACACTTTCAACTGAATTCTTGAAATTTTTCAGATCCATAAGTCAAAGATTTTTAGATCTTAATCCCGGCCATAATTTTTTAATTCTTAGGACCCTCTATATGAAACTGTGAACTAACCTACTACATGAGTTTTTAGTTACTACTGTAATTCAAATATAAAATAGTATCTTCATCAGTTTTGATCCCTCTCTTCACTGCTCCTTCGATTTCACACATTTGACTAATACCCTCTTCTGTTGCCCATTTTCGAGATATCCCTTATCCTCCACTTCCAGGGCGGACAAACAAAATAAAATGTCACAAATAATATAAACTGTCAACAGTCTATCCAACCAAGTATTTTGTTGCTGTTTGTCTCAAAAAGGATGACCTAGGGATTAGTCCAGACCCAGAGGTCACCATTCTTTCTTTGAATCACAGTCGCTGCATTTTGAAATTTTCCACTCCTATAATCTTTTTATATATGGGGTGAATAACAATGAGTAAAAGAGGACACTAAAGAAGATTTTTAAAACAAACCACGGGTGAAAAATGTTTCAATAAAAAAAGTTCTCCAATTAGCGTTGTTTTTAAAATTTTTTCTCAGCAACCATAAAATTTAACGCCTTTACTTGGGTTTTTGGAGATACTGTTGTCAACATTTCCAAGATGGGCTACACGAGTTGCAAAAATTTTACCTAAAATCCTGAGCCTGACAATGAAAAAAGATTTTGTATGAAGGGCAAAGCTCATGTCAAAAAATTACAATAAAAAAACAGACTACATTTTATTTGACTACAATAGAAATATGAACAAAAAACTAGTATCACATAAAGTTGTGGAAAGAATAAATTAATATACTATACTAAGAACTAATTATCCTCGTTTTCTTCGTAATAAAACGGATTATCTATTATGAGTTTGTTACCTTCGCCGTCTACAAAAATTTATTCGATATTAATATACAGATCATAAATTGAAATATACATGAAAAGGTACTCTATTGAAAGAAAGTGTTAGTTTATGGTGGTATATGCAGATGAGGAAACATAAAAAATGTGTTCATCAGTAACAGTTTTCACTTTAGGTAGTGACCTACTGTCAGCACAAGCTATGTAGACTCGATGTTGAAATTAATTAGAAAAATAACCATTCACATCAGTATCAAATAAACGCCTATTCTACAATGTTTGTTAAAAGGTAAACATCAAATTCTGATCCTTTTTCTGAGTTTTTCATGCCACAGTTGATGAAAAAGTTTGAAGTGTGGATTGTATACAATTTTCAATTAATTTGACCCAAAAAAATTCGATTGGTTAATATCAAACAGTGATCACAATCACGTATCGGTATAAAGTATAAAATGAAAATATACATACATGTAAAGTAACAAAACTCTTTAATTTTTAGGCTTGTTTTCCCGTTTCCTACGCATATAAAGATGTTATTACATTTTTCTTACGACTACAAAGTTTGTTCAATTTGATTGATAACATTTTGTTTTTTCTGTTTTTTTTTATTAAATTATATGTTCTGCTGTGTTATTTTTTTTGTGCATTAAAAAATGAAATTATATATACATAATAGCAATAAAAAACTAGCAAACAAAAAACAACGATTTTTTGCCAAAATTATGCCAATTGCAAAAAAGGTACTCAATAAATCTTTGAATGTGTTGTATTTTTTACCTGGTCACAATTTTGATTCACGGATAGATGGTGCCTACACTTAATAAACGTAGAGTTCAATTTGAGCCCGATCTAACGGTTACTTTTTTAATAAGCCCCAAGTCGAGTCTGCATACGTTTTGCGCCAACAATATTGTCAATTACTAGCCACATACAGTCTAAATATTATTATTTATTTGGTCATTAAGGTTAGGTTGCATAATAATGATAATCAATAAATCAAGGACACTAACAAAACAATAAAGAAGAAAGAACCAATACATTGGCATGGTTGGGAAAAATTCAGAAAAAAATGATTTAAAAAAATATTCATACACATTCTATATTTATCGCGGCGTTTTAGAGAAAGATTGTTAAAAATGTATGCGGATGACTCACTATTTCTACGAAATATGACATGCCAACCTTTTGAGAATTTTCTAGATACTTTTTGTTCACTATATAAGCAATTGAAATGTGTTTAGTTTCAGTCTTAACATCGATGTCCAAGTCATAAATACTGAAACCAGTGGTTAAATTTAAATGTTACAAATGTGGCTGCAATTAAGTGATTATTAACTGTTACTGTCATAGATCAATCTACTGTATAAATAAATATATCACGTATCAAGTTTACATTAAAATATGTTGACGTTTTCGCCTACATAAAAAAAATCATGATTTTAGAAGGTTGTGACATTTGATTTTTAAGGTAATTGTAAACTTTATTGCATTCAAAGTAAGATATAAACTGGAAAAATGTCTCGCGTTCTTAGTCACATAGTAGAATGTGGTATCGTGTTGAATCATAGGTCCATTGAAAATGTTAGTTTCCTCCCTTAACGCTACGTAACATTTTTTTGTGTTATCAGCGTGACTTTACAAGATCATAGATAAATTGAGTAGTATGTTTCCTCAAATGTATACAACAACATACTTTCATTGAAACATCAAAATACAATGTGCAAGTTTTAATTAAGTTTTCCAATCAAAGCGCTTCATATTTTGTTGCCAAACTTCTCTGTATACAGTGCGTTTTAGTTTTAACCCACAGGGATTCACATGTAAATTTGGGATCTCAATTTTTCCAAATATACTTTGATTGGTGCAGTTGTAATTACGAAGATTATCGAACCATCGCAGAATGTTATGCTGGTACAATTCATACTTTTTCGATCAGACTTCTCAATAAAAAGTTATAGACTAGAAACCAATTTCGAAAGAAAATTCAAAGGGCTGTAACTTTTGAACTAGTAGCCCAATCTGGGAACTGTTTGAAATTATGGATTCTACAGGCCACGTTCTATAAGAAAAATTTTTTTCCGGGTCGCTCTGAGACAATTTTTTTTTTCGGGCCTCAAAAAAAGGCAGTGTATAACCTTCCTTTTTTACCAAAAATCGACTGCCCCAAAATGTCTCGGGAAAACACTTTTTCTTATTAATTTTGGTGCGTAAAATCCAAAACAATTCGTACTTTTTTGGCCAGACTTCTCAATAAAAAATTATAGACTAGAAACGAATTTCGAAAAAAAATTCAAAGGGCTGTAACTTTATCCTCTGATGTAGGCGCAAACAATATCAAAATATTCTTAGTCGGTAAAGAGCAGTAGAAACCACAGGTAGAAACTGACAAGTTGACAGACAGAACGAGAAAATTTGTGTGATTGTAGTTAATTATCTGTATCAGTGTACACACTTCCAGTTTGCTAGCATTTCTAGAACAAATGATAACATAGGGATCCCAAACTAACATGTAAATTGGTATGGGCAAAATTAAAAAAAAACGCACGGTATGTTGGTCAATGACGATAGGACATTGCGCAAAAAAATTTCTAAAAATTTATAGATAAAGGTTTTTCAACGAGTCTATTTCAGCTCAAATATTTTCAATTGCATATTGTAAAACCAATTTTCTTCTCTAAACTCAATGGACTTTAATTTAAATGAACTATCAAGAAATGCTTGTGTAAAAAAAATGGGCGTTTCAAGGACACAAACATTGTTTGCATTCCAAAAAACAATTTATTTTGTAAAAGGGTACAAACAATAAATAATTTTGATAAAATTGAATGTTAAACTGAAAATATTTCAGCTGAAACAGACCATTTGAAAAACCCTCGTGTCATTGAGGACTACAGAAAAGTTTTAGTTAAATATCAATATCAGCAATGATCCAAGATCTAACAAAAGTCTGTTCACCAACACTGCTGTCACAACACGTATAATTTAAGTTTGCGTTTTTTGTTTAGGCCACATAAAATATGCGCAATTGTTGCTTTTATTTCATCTGATACTCCATATCTTTAGAAATTATTTGTTAGACACTATTTTTGAATAAAATGGGCAGATGTGTTAATAGTTCATAGGTTTGGATAAAGCAACAATTGATAAAATTCTGGTTGAACCTAGTAAGTGCAAAAATGTGGAAGTGGGATTCGTAATTACGGGTGTATATTGCTATGTAACGGACGTGGACGTTGAGATTTGGGTCCAGCCGCCTGAATTAATGAGGGGTTTTTAATGTTAGTCAAATTTTCGTTTCAATTTGTTAAATTAGTCTGGTGGGGTTTTATGTTCAAGCACGGAACGATTGTTGCGTGTTTAGTTGTATCCAATTTTTTGCTTATAAAAGATTATTTCCTACAATTGTTAAATGTAGAGCAATGTATCGCTGATTTATGTTATGAATTTTACTTTGTTAAATCATTTAAGTGACTGTTTTACTGTATAGGCACTTTTATTACTTTTGTTAAAAGGTTGGTGTAATTTATTAGCGATAAGTGGGAAAAATCTGCGTCTTTTCCATAGATAAGAGAATTCCGTTTAAAATTTAAATACTGAAGGAGGCCCTTTTGTCAATTTCCAGGCCAGGTTGCTGTTCGTTGTGTCGTGTGCATGGCCAGCGAGTTGGGAGTAAAATTACATTCCTGTGGCCCAAAGAGAAGAAAAACAATTTTTGGGAATTTAACACAAAACGTTAAGTATTTTAAGTTTTCACTAATTTGTTTACTTGTGATGGAACGCGTATGCGGGGTGTGTAAACGGACCTTGTTATAGTCCACTCTGTTAGAATTTTATGATTAATTTGATTGTGTTCGTAATCTGATTGGTTATTTATAAAATAAAAATTTGTGTTAGGGAAAATAAAGCAATTAAATTTGGTTTTAAAAAATAGTCATTGCGACTTTAGTAGGGTGACAGTTTACTTTGATAGCATTTTCATTCGAAATACTTACAACAATCTTGGCAACAAAAAAAGAAAAAATAGAAAACTATACTTCGCCAACTACCTGGCAAATTTTGATTAAGTACAGTTGAGCCATTTGAGATCGCAACCGACGCACACAAATGATTTGCTAATTTAAAACAGCTCAGCTGTAACTCGCTACGATTGGAAAACTTCGACAGATGAATTCATACTTATTAAACAAAACTAAGCCTTAAAAATCGATAGAATGGCAATATATTATCGGTTAATTTCATATAGATATTTTTCACATAAGAAGAATTGTTACCTTCAATAATTTGAAATTTCTCGACTTGCTCTGGTCTACGCCCGGACTGTGTCTCTTCTACAAAGAATAAATATAACAACCATGTCGTTAATACAAAAAATCTACCTACCTTTCTGTGGTCGCTCCAACTGCTCTGTGGTGGAGCCCGAAGTGGATGGTGTTGGTTCTGTTTGTTGTCCTACTAAAACGTAAACCACTGTGGTCAATAAAACCTTTTTGCTATCTAGTTAAAAGTGTATAATCCAGTTTAATAAATTCAGCAGAAAGCATGAATACTGATTGTTATACAGAGGTTAAATATTTTTTTAAACTATCAATGTACAATGTGTCAAACACTATATTAGATCTGGAACTTGTTTCAGTAAAGAAAATCTTTAGACCCAGGCGGGTAGTTAATTACAGACATAAAATTTGAAAATAAAACCACTGTAATTATACTGCATACACAGAAAATCTGATACCTGATTCTGTTGGTGACGCCGGGCTTGGCTTAAAGCAGCTTGAGAACTGTTGCTTATCTGTGAAGTAAAAATTAACCCCCGTTCTTTAATGAATCACAAGGTTTTGGCTCAAATGCAAACATTCGTACCCAATAATAGCTTTCTTTAATATCAATAATGGGCTCATTTTATAATGTTTACTGCGTAATTATTAATCAGTTACAATCCTGAAAAGGTTAATTACTTTTGACTTAATTGTGAGTTCCTAGCAATGAGGTCAAGTTTGAGTGTTATAAACTAGAGTTGCCACGAATAGTGATATGGCTGAATATCCGGCCCCGCCCTTGACTGAAGGGCCGAATATTCGACTAGTACACATTTCGCGGTCTTCATGCAAGTACCGCCCATCAACTTCGCGCTGTATACCTCAGTTGCCTGGGACGCTGTGTCTCCGCTACAACCGTCGACCGTGCGGCGAGACGAAACAGTTTAAAGGAGAGAGGGGGCAGTGTAACGAACATTCCAGAAAATTCGGTAGACATTGAGACGCCATGAAAGATTAGTCATCGGCCATAAGGCACGAAGACGGATGTGATCTAATATTTCAAAGAAATATGGTTTGGGATGAATCAGTTAGTTCTTAACTTTGCTTAAACGCGAAATAACTTTTGTATATATATGCTGGCTATCTAGTGTACTATGATCTTTGCGCTTTATGAGGAAAAGCTCAATCAGTTGTTATGAACAAATGCTGAAACTTGTTTTCATTCATCACCTCTCATAATGCTTGGTGAAATATAATTAGCTTCCTAGCATGAGCTCGGGTACCTATTGCCATCATCGTTTTTTAGACATGTCAAAATTTCATCAGATGTCAACATTTTACATCATTTTAAGCAACTTTCATAGGATACAATTTTATTCTGTCTTATGTGCATAGGTATGTTGGCAATTTTCCTAGGTAATGGCTCGACGGATTCGGTTGAAATTTTGGATATGTATATTAGGCATACGGAAACGGAAAATAACAAGTCGGAGTTTTGGGAAAAAATCTTTGGAGCTCCGCAATAGTATCGAACTTTTTTTTTTCAAAAAGCAACCTAAAATTTTGATTAAGGTATTCGAAAGACCTTATTTTTCCGTGTACAACCTACAAAAATTGTCCAGGTTTTATTACAAAAAAACTGATAAAAAAATTTAGTTTTGGCAAAAAACCAACCCTTTCAAATGAGCCGTATATTGCCCAAATCGGTTCAGTCGTATAGAAGGAGTACGTGTGACGGATTTTTCACTTTCGAGGAAAATACGCTAAAAAAGCGGTCAACCATCCAAATAGAGCGGGAGCGCAGATCGAACGAGACCAGAGTTTTCAACGTGGTATTGCCGCTGTCGAGAAAACGACTGTTGTAAGGTAAGGTCAGAATTTCTCGAATTGGGGCTTTGAGTGCTTTGTAAAAGATCGTTAAACAATTTTCGCATGCTTGACGGAAAATGCGTCAAGATCGCAGAGGGAAAATACACAAAACAATAGAAAGAATCCAAAACAAAGCAATTTTCAATTATGTAATAATTTGATAACTGGTTTTTTAAATGAACTTTCACTTTCAAAAAATGTTTGAGTCACACAGGCGCCACAACTATACCACTTGGTATTGGTGTCATTCGATCTGAAATTAAGACTTATTTCATGTTTGAATTCTCGTTAAGACATGAAAGGCCCATAAGTGCTATTAAAATTGAAAATACAAATTTGAAAGTGCACTCTTCGCCTCTACCTAACGAGCGGCTTAACGAGTTTCTTTTTAGTAATAGGTGCGAATATTCGTGACAACTCTGTGTAAAAAATTCGTCAAAAAAACCTATTTTGAAGAAAGAGACTTTGAGAAAGTAACATTTACAAAAATCCTTTTTACAATAGCAACATTAGGGTATAGAATTTTGTTCACTAAATAACAACTTTCATACATCAACAGACATGGCGAAAAGCAAGAGCTTCAAAATCGGTTACCTTTTAATTTATGATAAAACTGCGATACAGCCTCATATGCAGAAGATAAAGTTGTTGGTTTTTTGTCTGTAGAATGGTCTTTCTTTCCATCTGCTACAAAATGGAAACACAATAATTATTCAATAGTATTAAAAGTTAGTGGTATAAAATCTATCCACGCAATAAAGTAGCGTGAGCATGCATTTTGCGCACGCCTGCTTTGGGGGTTAACGCCTCATTGTCTATCTGTGTATCAAATTTGAGCTCTATATACCAAAGGATCTTCAAGTTATATAAACGCACGTTCAGATTTTTTGCTTGTTACTATCATTTTATTCAATTACTATATTACCTTTTGTAGGTACAGGCGTCTTGAAACGTCCTAGTAGTGGTCGACCTGCGGGGGTCCTAGTTCGCCGTAATATACCTACAAAATGAATGAAATATCGAACTATCCATTTTTTGACAGTTATCTTGTTAGTCACTTATACAGTATACTAGGGTACTTTAATTTTAAAGTTAGAGTATGTATTACAAATCGTAAGTTATCAATAAAATAAACAAGCCAGCATTTAGTCATTACCTTTTAAAGGTGCAGCAGGTGTTGGAACAGTGCCTAGAAAATAAATCAAACACAAATAATCAAATATTATACAAAGAATTACAAGGTGAATAAATTATGACAGATGAAAACGAGCTAATATTTACCTGGTATTGGTGTAGGGGTTTTTGGAATCGCACCTTGCTGTCTTCTTTTCTCTAGATCTGATTGTTCTATAATAAGATAATTATTCAAATCTTCGATTAATCATTTAATCCATTATTAAACGTTTATTAACCAAAACTTCATTCAAATTTATATTAATCGAATGAAAATCGCCCACCTCTAACAGGATAACATTTATTATTATTATTATTGGGTATTAACACAACAAGAAGTGCTAGTCCTGAAAACTCTGTTTACTAAAAAGGCTCCAGTGTAATAATCGAATTGGAAGTAGCAAATTATCAGGTCACAATCAGATAACCAGTTTGACACAGGGAAGTAAAAGTAATATTAGATAGAGGTCCATACGTTAGCAACGGCATCACAGGCATGTGTATAACCAACCCTTTCTAAGTGTGCCAAATTCTTGACAGAACAGCTTCCTAGTTCAAACCAAAAATCGCGCTTCTGGAAGTGTTTGCAAAAAATGAAAAGTGTAGGGAAAAACGTTTCCCACAAAGTGTATTATTTTCCGATGTAGAATGAGAATATTCAATAAAAAGTATAGGTTTCTACTTGAAAAAATTAAGTTGCCATACACTTCACCCTTAACCTTAAAGGACAGTTATATGAAAATGTGCATAGCAAATTTTACAAAAATCATTTTTGATACCCTCGCTAGTTTCCGCAATAGTCGACTGTCTGAAGATAAAGGGGAATTAAGTAATATTCAAATATAAGATTACGAAACTGGTAGTCGCAAAGTTTACTGCAACTCACAAAAGAAATGACTGCTATACCCCAGTTCTTCTGGCTTATGCAGGTAGTTACCCCCCAGTAAATCATCCCCTGAAACTTATATCTTTTCTAGGCAAAATTTAATCCAATATAATGAGCAAAATGGGCTATCCGAAACAGTATTTCAATGGCTTGTGTCCAAACCAGTTTTCCGTGACAAACGAAAATAACTTTCCCTGTGAAAATGCACGTCTTAGAGAAAAAATTGATATCTAGAAATCTAAACATTTCTGAAACACTTTAAAAATTGCTTAAACATTTTCAATATGTCTGCGCGCTTTTATCAGAAAAAAAATATCGATCTCGAGGCAAATTTAATCCAATATACCAGACAAAATGAGATATTTGAAACACTGTTTCAATCGCCTGTGTACCTGTTATTTTTTCGAACCATTGTTTGTTGCTAACTTTATGTAGCTTAATGTTAGCAGACTTGGTTAATTTTTCTACCACACAATTTTGTTGTAGCTCTTGTAAAAGGGAATTTTTATCCCGTTACTACCATTCAAATATTGACCTTTGGTTTGTTGCATTTTTTTGTGTATAACAAAGCGTGATACTTGCTCTTAGGTGCTTTCATACTTGTCATGGAAAAACTAGCGTAGACACAGGCCATTGAAACTCCATTTCAGATATCCCAACAGACTTATCCAATACTAACACCAAGTGTCAGGAAACCCATTATATCTCAATCAAAGAATAAGTAAAATCCTCTATTTACTCACCTTCGCTATTAATAGTTGTCAGCTCCTGCGCCTCACAAGATGGAGCAGGGGGAATATCTTCCGCTGCCGCTGCACAACAATTTAAATACACATTAGAGCTTCTAACACACAGAATTATACTTTCAATGTCGTCTTTAATTAGCATGGTAAAGTTTTTTCTTTGCAATTGTGACAATTCTACAATTATCTTTTTTAGAGCATTTTTCAACGAAGTTGGGTGCGCTATTGCAGACACTGTCCGAGGCCTTAACTACACATACAGTTTTCAAGATATTAAGTTCGTTCTTTTTGCATTCGGTAGCGTATAGCTCTAGCACCTGATCCAAGGAAAATCTTCAATTAAACTGCGCAATGTCAACTTCCTTATTTATTAATATATTTTGTTGAAATTTTAACCCAGATATTTCTGGCGAAGGCAAACATGTCACATATAGTAAAAATCAGATGTGCGCATGCGCAGACTGCGCAATGGCAACTTTCTTATTTATGGAGATATTTCTTTGAAATTTTAACCAAAGTTGCTTATAGTGTAAGCAAATGTATCGCATATTCTAAACATCAGGTTAATGCGTAATATCAACTGTTATTTATGGAGATATCTTTTTGAAATTTTAATCACAGATGCTTCTGTTAAAGGCAAACATAACTGATATTGCAAACATTAGATGTGCGCATGCGCAGTCAGTGCCAACTTCTTTATCAAGATATTTCTTTGAAATTTAAACCATAAACGCTCCTAGCAAAAACAAACATCGCATACCTATAGCATACGAACTGCGCAACGCCGTTTTGTTTATGGAGATATTTCTCTGAAAATATAAAAAAGGGAAATTTGGAAACCCCCTCCCTTTTCATTCAAGATTTACCCATCTATCATTAAAAATATTCGGACCAATCGCCTGTCACCTTTTTTAACGCCACCTTTCAGTGTAAACAAATGGTAAAACATCCCATTTTATTTTAACATAATGGAATTGCTATATCCATTTTGCAGATCTACTATTATTTGGGGCGATTTGGGAGCTACCATTCAGACAATTGGGAAAACATATTGTCAAATATTAACCGCACAAAATTCGCGTACCCGTTATATTTGCATGACATGAGATATCATACACAATTTTCAAAGCACCAATTTAAATACAAATTAACCCTAAATATTAACTTAAGCAACAGGAAATGAATAACTAAACTTAATTACCTCTGGCATGAGAAGGTCCTGCTTCGTCGTCTAGATTTCGTGATTTAAATATTACTTTACCCGGAGCGAACCTCACTTCCTTGTGAATCATAGAGTCACTTTTCGAACCTGAAAAAGTTATACATTTATATCCAAACATATGCATACGCTATCTGAAAGCTGTCCAAATCAGCTGATCCAAATAACGTGAAGGCCAAAGAATAGTAACAAACTGGACATTTGCAAATCAAATAATGATAAAATTGCTCATTAGTATCCAGACGATGAAAGCAACATGAGAACTCAATAGACTATTATAAACACACACGAAATGATGTTTTCTAAACGACCCTTGTAAGTTCTACTTTTATAAGCTTCTCTTGAATCGAGTATACTAATTTTTTAAATAGGTGGGGTGAGGGTTTGTACCAATTTTTATGAAATTTTTTAAAATATTAGGTAGGTATGAGAATAGGTCATAAAGTATATTTCATACCATACCGCTAATAATAATATAGGTATATTACTATTATCATTATTATAATATTATTATTAGCGGTATGAACCATACCGAATAGCGTGTTTATACTAAATTACAGGTATTTGTTTTGTTGAAGATGCAGTTCATTTTTTTATAATAAATCTGTGCAGAAGCAAAGTTTCTACCTTCTGAACAGCCACCGAAAATTTGTTCATCTTATTCATCAAACCAAATTTTTTCAAAAGCTATCAGCGTTTGTGTGAGATTAGTGCGTCTTATATCACAAAACGGATGTGAGCCTCGCAGTTACTTCCTTTGAGCCAAGGAGTACTGCAAATTAATGTCGTCAAAACAAGCACAACAATCACTATGAATTGTAAATTAGTTTGACCTACTAACTATAGATATAAATATGATGTTCTTTTATTTCAGATATCATATAAAGAAGTTATGACGGTGCAGGGGATACAGCTATGAGTATCAGTGTTTATTTAGGGTACATGATTAAAAAAATGTTTGAGAAACGCTGTTCTAAAATATTCGAGGATTGTTTTCTTGAACGCAAAACATGATCTACTGTCAACACAACAAATCGGATGCCCTACATACAATTAGATATATCGACAATGGTAAATGCCAAGTAGGTCTCGTTTACTATCTTTTCATTTTTGTGCAATAGAGAACAGGTAGTTTCAATAACTGGCCCAGTAAATAGAGTAAAACAAAAGCTTTACACAAATAAAAATTATAAATACTGGTGACCCCTAAGTTCCTGGGACCTACGCTATTCCTTCTCCACATGAAGGATCTATTCACTTAGGTACCTGGGAACGAAAGTACCCCACTTTTTGTATGCGGAGGACATATCGCGACTGCTGTTACAGAGAGATGAAATGGCACTTACCGACTTAACAAATATTTAGAAAGGCTTGAGGTTTAATGGAAATATTGAAAAATAATAATGCCATTATTTGTTATTTTTATAGAAAATTGAATTTAGTTTAAAATTGCATAAAAATAAATAAAAAGTTATTTTGTAATAATTAAACAAATTTTTTATCAAACTCTGTTGATATATGTCTAGGCTACTTCCTGTTTTGCTTGGTAGAGTTTATCGATGGCAACCCTAGTATACCTTGTTCTCTGCATTTGAACACTTCTGTATTGGTCCCCCATGCTCACTACCTAATAATTTGATACATTAAAAATGAGCTCGAACACTTTGTAGATTTTTGCAAATGCCCACCGTTGCAGTTTAGAAACACTACTTACCACATTCAATAATTGTTTTGGTCAGATTGCCTGTGTTTGACAGTTGTGACTTATAGCTTGTATTGGATAAATTATCACATCACAGTGTACACTTTTAAATTTTTTTTTGTTTTAGAAAACCACCTTTTAAGTGTTTTCATTAGCGTCTTTTTTTGATATTTATTGAAATTTGACATCAGACATGAACTTTACGTTCACACTAGATAGAGAAAACTACCAGAACAATTATTGAACACCAACATGTTATACCTCTTTTACTTTGACTTACGTAAATCACTCCATTGTGTATCCCAACATTGGGGAAAACGTCTTGGTAAGCACTCTGTAATAGCTAAAGGAAAAAAAATCACTTTTTGGTATAATCTAAAAGTCTGCTTACCTTGTCCATGCTGCTTCAATACCGCCATAGGTCGTATCGGTGCTAAAAGTACAAAAAATTTATTAAACAAATTTACTAATAATTGCATTCTTACCGTCAACAGATTGATGTGACCAGGACAATGGGGATGCATTATCTAAAACAGACCAAAAATCAATAAAAAAATAATTTCTTACTATTATTATCTTCAACCATTGTTTATAGTTGAACAATCAAGAAATGTGTGGTATGTTTCCAAAAATTAGCAAACAAAGTTTATGTAGGGTACCCATCGACGAGCTAAATTGATTATTAGCTGGGAAGCTAATGCTGAAAATTTATTAGCTCTTCAAATAAGCCCGTTTCAGCTAAAACATTTTTAAATGTATACGACTTTTAGTTGGACTAGCACTTTATTATTTTAAATGGGATGCCCTAATTTGTATTCATTTTCTCAATTGGGGCTAATTTTAATTTCAATGACTATCGAACCAATCCGATTTTGAAATTATTTCAGTTTTTTCAACATTTTTCTTTAAATAAAATACTTTCCGTAAATAAATTGCTTTTTATAAAACCGACAAGGATTTGCGTCAGTAAGGCTTTATGCAATATGTAACAATTGTTAAAAAATTTAAACTGTGCACAGTAATTCATGCAAATTTAGAGAAAACTTTCCCTGATGTCTGGCGTTAAACGTGCCGAGCACATTGATTTTGGGCACCATAAATTAAGATAATTTCCACTCTTTCGTTTAGTGTGTAAACCATTTTGCCAGTAAAATCTGAAGCAATAAATTAATTTTCACTATCCCAAGATGGTCACAAAGGTAACTGACAGCAAATCAAATTCTTTCTTTCCCATAGGAACAAATAAGTGATATTTTCGTTTGTTTTTGTTTTCTATCTGAACAAATTAACATAGGTCGATTAAATAAATTAAATAGATTTTTCTAATTCTCTCGAAAACGAATTGACCGATTTAAAAAAATAAAACGTCAAAATAAACGACTAAACAAGCAATTACTCGATACCACTTGCCATTTAAAATTTTTAAGAGAATGAACCTGAGGTGAAAGGGGGTGAAGTAGTTTTTGGTTAAACAGTTGTTCCCCTTGACAAATCTTTGGATGTGTCTCGGCGATTTTTTCCTTTAATCAGTGGTGGACATTTTTAAATGAACACCCTGTATGTGTAATGAAGTGTAAATATTGTACAGATTTAATAAACATAATAATAACACCACATCATGGGTGTACAGGAGGGTCCACATTCGTGGCCCACTATTGGAAACTCAGTAATGAAGATGAGATACAGTGTAGGTTAAATATTTGCTCCTTTTTTTGACTAAAAAAAATCTGTAATCAGCATTTCCATAACACGCTAGATGTAGAAGCTATAGGGTGCCATATTGAATTTTTACAAAATGAGAGGACAAAAAAAGAAAAAAATGACGCGTCACAATTTACAAGGTCAAATTCAAAAACAGTTTTACATTCATTTCTCAACAAAACATCCACCGGTAACTATACCCTACTAAATCAACATGGCTATGGTGGCGACGCATTCAAATGAATTTCTTTTTTTGTCCTCTATCTCTTTCTGTAAAAATCCAACATGGCGTCCATAATATTTTTGGTTTAAGTTTAAAATTATCGATCTCACGAGTAATCTAACTCAGAATACCCTAGAGCATGCACATCGACACTATAGCAGGAAGCATTTAGTGAAAATTTGAAGTCTCAATCTACCTATTGTAATTGCTGAGATCTCAGCCGGACAGACAGCTAGCCATAACAAATAGCGTATTTTTTTTCACAAATAGGCTAAAAATAGTGTTATTTTCAGATTTTTCAAAAATTAGAAAAGTGTTTTTTTAGTCACAAAAAGGGGCAACTTTGCGTCTATTTAACCTACACTGTACCTATCTCTCATCGTTAACCAACCCTGTACAAAAACAGAAGGTACACTTCTAAATGGATACATTGGATCTGTTCTTATTGTTTCAACCCACCTTCCCTTAATGGCAACTGCTTGCTGTAGTCCCGTATTCCAAGCGAACCTCCTAAAAAAAGAGAAAGGTATACACATTCGGCCAAACATAAAAATGTACATTGTCATTTTTGGTTTAATAACACTGCTACATTATTGGATTATACCAGACACGCTACCTACGTACCTTGTTTGGTGCAGATTAAGTAAGCAGGAAGCCTGAATCAAACACGCAAAAATATATAGGCCTGTATGGTTGAAACAAAATATTCAACAAGTTACAAAAGTAATAGTCAACATTTTCACATTAATAGAATAGTCATTTCTCCTAAAAAATTAAGCCCCACCCTTAAAAGATCAAAAAACACCCATAAATAATACCTTTAAATCTGCACATGACTAAACAATTTTTTTTTGATAACAACGCAGATATGAAAACATTACAAGATATCAAAAAGTTTAAACCAGAAAAATGATTTCTTATTTTACAATCTACCGGCGGCACACCGGAAAAAATTGTAGTAGTGTAATGGCCCCTGAAAAAACATCACCCTTTAGACTCACTTAACTGAAAAACTGCATCAAATTATAACTCCCTATAGACCGCTAACAAAGCATTTGCGGACCTATGTTTATATGTATAATGAGCAATAAGAAGTAGTCAGTTTAAAAGTTTTGAATTTGAGTACAATAGCACGATAAAGAAATGTGAGCAGCAATCATTCAACTCCGTCATCACAAACAAGCTCAACAAATGAATTATGGTACAGAAATTGAAAATGTGAAATGGATGCCGATGTACTCGAGAATTGACAAAGTACTTCAAATCCAAAAAGAACAAACAATGAGTAATTAGATATTAAAAATCACCTTCAGGCAGTATTTGTTCGAGAGCGTACGTCAACGCTAGGTCGGATGCATCGACCAGCTTCCTAGTTTTAAAAGAACTCGTTTTTATGCAAAGTGCTACCGTAGCTAAAAATAAAAAAATTATCAATGCAAATCATGAGAAAGTGTTACCTTTGTCCACACTATCAAAAATAACAACCACCGAATTCAGGTTGCAACTGAAGAAAGTCACGTCAGGACTACCCCAAAGCTCGACCACGTCCACCATACTGACTCCATACCTTATGTCGTACACTTCGACTATACGAGCAAAATCCCATGTATTGGTAGTCAAAGATGAATAATCTTGTGATGCCAATACGACGAGAGTATTAGCACCAAAGGACTCTTCAATCTAATAAGAAAAAAAATTATGATGCATGAAGTCAGACGTAAGTAGACTTACTTGACGAGCAATGTTAGGATTAAGATCGAAACCCTTACACCATGCCAAAAAGTTCAGATTATTGCCCATTGAATTAAAACAGGCCTGAATGGTAGAACTCGATTCTGTGGAACACGCCGAAACGTTGTCGGGTGGAGCCTCACTAACTGGTTCGGGAGGATTTTCTTCGCCTGTACTTTCATTCTTACTGTTACTCTGCGGATTCATCTCGTCCTTAAGTTAAATTGTATAAGTATACAATACAGAATGCGGGATGATACAACACACCATGAAAGTAAACGCTTCAATGCAAAACAAACACTTAACGAACAAAGAAAACGTAAACTTCTGCGGAAGCGCCGATGAAAATGTTGGCGGTAATTTGTACTTTTTTAGGTTAGCGTCGCGTCGGTTGCATGTTTATTCATTGGTTGCCTGTGCATGACGTCACACTCAAAAATGCTTACAATTGCTACGTTGCCAAATTGCCAATATTAACTTTCACAAGAGTATTGTTATATTTATCACTTATCAATTGGTCGATGCAATACAAAAAAATGGCAGCAAATTAGTCCCAGTCTATCAGACTTTCGCTAATGCAGTCTTTTGGTCTGCTATCCATGTACACCATGTGCATAAGAACCGTACATTTACGTATCATATAAATTTCTAAGCAAAGAGGTCTGGATTTCCACTTACGGATGTCAGAACCTAATAGAATTAAACTTCAAACTAGCCTTTGACCATTGAATGAGATATAGGAGTTAATAGCCCGTTGATCACTGATCCACTCTACGCCCAGGGGGAGGGGGCATTCTTTACTTGAGCAACTGTTCTTGCATTATTTGCAGCTGCGGGAGAAAGGTAAGAGTTGTGTACCTACCTAAACCGGGTCGTGCCAAATAAGACCCGGCGAAGGATTATTACATGCCAATCAACCTGTTATAGTTTCTTATAAAAACGGTAGAAAAGCTGATGGATGCATACATAAGGAATGGTCCTTGATTGATTACTCCCATTCCATCATGCTTACAGGGCTGGTATGTCCATGGAAACGAATTTTCACAGCTATGGTCTGCAGGTTGGAGAGAGTCGGTCGGGGGGTAACCCTGGGAGAGTTTTTATCATAGGTATCGAAAGTGCGTTTAACAACGTACCATGTGCGCGGGTAGACGATCTCTCGATCGCAATAACTGGATCGTTTCCAAATACGTGAAAGAGCTCATTCAGTGGATAGGTGTATACTGCGGTAGTCATAGCCTTTAGACTGAGGGTACTCCCATTCACGTGTCTTGCAAAATGTGATTACTTTCGCCCCTAGGAAAAAAAAACAAAACTCCATCAAGCAAGCAGAATGGAATCAAAGAAAATCTTTTTTAAACACGTTTTTTATTAGGTCCTATTGCGGCTATCGATTTCGACCTTATAAGGTCATCTTCAGGCCGAGCTATAATATATTGTATAGCTCGGCCTGAAGATGACCTTATAAGGTCGAAATCGATAGCCGCAATAGGACCTAATAAAAAACGTGTTTAAAAAAGATTTTCTTTGATTCCATTTTGCATCACGACAACACGTTTAAAATAAAGAACGATGGAACAATACATCAACCGAATCCATCAAGCAAGATTTGTGCGCGTTTACAAGATCTTTCCGACGACGCACCGGTTTGAAAACAATCGGACCAAAACCGTAGAAGCAGAACAAACTGAAAAATCACCATGTTAGTAAACCACGCTCGGAAATGGTGCCCTTATGTCACCGATCCCACATCATGTATCCCCATCCCTAAAGCTGTCAATTATACGGCCCGGTATAGGGTATACTATACACTCCTCGTCCTTCTACAGCGTTACTTCTGTACGGTTCTTCATTGGCTGCCATCCAAGCCGACAGGACAAAGTGAGATTAAAACCTACCTTTTTACAAATAAATTTTCAAAAATGGGCTTAAAATCATCGTCACCGAAATATTGTACCCAATGATCAATTTTACATAAGGTGCTATTGCCCTATTTCTACGCTACTGACTTGTAGTTATATTGGTGTGGAAATGTTGGCACTACTGTTGGGGTTTCTTTCATTTTTCAGTTTTTTGATAGTTGTCACTTTAGTTGTCATTGTTAACATGTAAATCGCATATGCTATTTTGTGATAATGGTTCTAAGATAAATTTACGAAGAAATCGATTTTATAGTATAACTTTAACCATTTTCAATCAACTAGTAACATAATGTCCGGTTTTGATGAGAACCCCTTTGGAGAGCCAACAATTGACAACCCCTTTGCGGTATGTACCATTCAAACACTTCTAGTGATTCAAATGCTATTGATAGTATAAGGAGGTTAATAACACGCATAATCCCGCTTTTAGGATCCTGCCGTTCAACAAGTTACGCGAAATACAAATTCACAGATCCGAGTTGAAGATTATAATCCTTTCGATAATACTAACAATCAAAGAACGGTGAGTTCTAGATTTTAATCATGCCTTTCCTAATTCTCTCAATCCCTAAGATGGAATGCATTAATCATTTTGTGATATGCAAATGAGATCAACGTGACTGTGACTATGATAATTAGGTTTTTATCGTATCTGTCAATTTGGGTACCTATCTTGTGTTTATAATGCCATTGATAAGGTAGTCTTTGTTTATAAATTCTAGTTTATCAAAGATCAGTATTTTTTATATTTTTTTGCTTAAGTTTGTATATATTTACCCACTTAGGGCATAGGTCTATCATTACTGTTTCGTCCTTATAGATCATTCAAAACCTTCCATTTTAGCAGGTCGAAACCACTTATTTACATACCACAATCAATAGTCACAGTTTAACTGAAAGCACTACAATTGTATTTCATCTCGTTAATTAGGGCTACAGTAATAATCAACCGGCAATAATGCAGCCGACACAGGATAACCCGCCAGTCTACGCTCGTAGTGGTCAGCAGACAATGCCGCCAGGAAAGCCAGTTCTTAATACTGCCGAGTTACAAGTAGGTATCATTCAAAGCACCCACACTATTGTTTGTACGAGAATAAGTTTAAACAGCAGACACACAACTATGGAACACCGTTTTACTAAGTATTGTGGAAATATTAGTCTATCCGATAGTTTATGAGAACTACAAGAATGTCAGGTTTTCAGTAAAAATTTTTGTAGAGCAAAATTATGCACAATTACCCTTGTCATGTTTCTGAAATATTTTTATCACCAGTGGCGTACTGTTCCAGTGGCGTTTTTTTTTAATGGAACACACCATATTTTATTACAAATTTGGAAAGTACTTGTTTTTTTATGTTCTACCCTTAATTTTAACGATTTTGCCCATTTCCTCAAAATTTGACAGTTTTTTAAATTTTTTTTTAGACAAACTAAATCGCACTGTCTCGTAATTTTTTTTAGGTACTTTATCGAACAAATATAATGTTTGATTGATTTTCGCCAAATGCCATATTTTTTTTTAATTTCAAATGGCACCCCCCTAAACAAATTATAGCTCTGCATAGCAGAAACTACAAAATTTCCACTGATACAAACAAAACCACATATTCCATAAGAAAATTTCAGAGAAAAAACAACCCAAAACGTTTCATTGTTTGTATATTACAAGAGATGGCACTAGCAATACTATTCTAATATAACTTTGACTGAAAATATGGCAAGTAGATACGTTCTGGTCTTTGGGAAATTGGGGAGCAAATGTGGCCCTAATGTTGAAAAGTTTGGAGACCCTTGGTGTAGAATAGTATAGTCTATAGTATATTTTGTAAAAGAAGAATAATACTGAAAATTCCCGAATATTCTGGAAAATTCCCGAATATTCGCAACGATAAATAAATTATGGCAATTTTACAACATTACCCAGGTCTTTTGCTGTTTTTTTTTTTTTTAAATAATTATGTCGAACAACAGTATCTTCTGTCACACATCTAGCGTACATGGCATTTTTTTTAAATATTAGCAATTTCCATTGGTCAGAAAATATTTATTGTAGAACACTTTAACAGAAAGAGCAAGTTTTATGATATTTTTACCATGCTCTCGACCAATTCGGGATGCGTATTTTACTAGGTTGGTGACACAAAAATAACTAGATTTATCCCTAGAATTGCGCGCTTGGTGCAAGCAGTGTATCAGGTGACTGTAAACTGTGCATGCCTTTTGCAATTGCTCTTGCAACTTACAATTTTTATTGCTCCATGTCAAGCGGGCTTTAGATGCCAGCTTGGCAAATCTTTTTATACTAAAACTAAAATGCATTTTTTCCCCTTCTCACTTCCTCCGCCCTTATCTAGCACCTTCTACTTCTCCCTGTCATTTCCTCCAGATATCCTTTGACTCCATTCCCCTTTTTCTCTTTATTTCCGCACTTGAATCTCGTTATTTTAATATCTTTTCTTCCTTCCCACAAATATTCTGGTAGCCACTCCCTTATTAGCTCTTTATCACTACTACTTCCGCGTGCGCATTCTATCTTCACCCTTTGTGGTTGAATTTCTGCATAATTTTCCATCTTTTCTCTTACTCCTGTTCTTTCGACCTCAGTACATCCGTATCCATTTCTTTCGTAATATTTTCGTCTTTGGTCTTTACATTTTCCTTTTGCATCCAGTTTCTCCAATTCCTTCCACTTCCATATCTCCATTCAAATAGGTACTTTCGTGTTCTAAAATCATTTTTTAACCCTCTCTCTCCAATTCCCCACGTCTAATCGCCGCCACCCCCTTTTTCCGTAATTCTCTTATCTGCGCATTTGCTCCGTTGTTTGTTTGCATTTGGTACCCTAAATATTTAATTTTATTTACCTTTTTGATCCCTTCCTCCCTCCATTTTCATTCCCTCTTCCCAAATCTCCTCAGATTCGACTTGTCTACCTTTAAATCCATTCTTTTCTTTTCCTTATATCATTTCCTTCATTTGTTCTACCTCTGTTGCGTCGTCCGCGTATGCCAGGAAGTATGTCTTTCTTCTTCCCAGTCCCACTACTATCTCTCCACCTTGGCCTAGTCTTAATATTTTTTCCATATCTCTTAAGTGGAGATTAAGGAAGGTTGGGCTACATGGGCTTCCCTGTCTTAGTCCTGTACAGGTTCAAAACAGTTCAGACTCCTTCCCTTCTATTCTTACCCTCAACCTTATATCTCCATACAGTTCCTTGATTCCGTCCTATTACCCCTTGTCAATTTTCCTATCTTCTGTACTTTTTTCCTTTTCACTCTTGTCAGATGCTGCCTTTAAGTCCATGAAAAACGCGAACATCTTTCCGCCCTTTTTTCCCAATTCCTTTTCCACCAATTTATGTAATACATACATGCAGCCGATCATTCCCTTTTCTGAAGCCCATTTGTGTTTCCTCCAGCATCTCCTTTTCTTCTATTTCTCTTTCTGGTCTTTCGCTCATGATCGTTTCTTTTTTTCTATTCTTTCGCCTCTTTCTCATCTATTTTCCCTCTTCTTTCTTGCTCCATCATTTCTCTATGTATATTTCTCCCTTCTGTACACTCTGGCCCACCACTCCTTTATTTTTTCTCTCCCTTCTCCTTCAGTTATTTGTTTCCACGTTATTGCTGTTTTAATACTCTCCCTTATATTTTTCCACTCTTTCTACTTTTTCTTCTTGTCCCTCTACTTTCCATCCCACTTAATTAAAGACCAATAATAAAAATAAAAACATCCAGGATATTCCACTATTAGGCCGTTAATTTTCAAATTTGCACATGTCTGTTTTTATTTGGATTACTGGTCTTTATTTTTAAGTGGGCGGGGTTTTAGCCAAGGGCTGCTCTTATTGAGATTGGTGAGTGTAGTGAATTATCTTGAGACACAAGGAGACTCCACATTAAATATGGGGGGGGCAGGGAGCCACATTGGTATTACTAATTTTTACATTACTGGTGACTATCCCAATTTAATGAATTATGAACAAATATTTCGGAATAAATACGAAAACGGCGTTCCATACACAACCCACGTTAATACATTTGGGGACTTTTAAGTTCTCAAATTAGTTTCATATTATCACATAAATTAAAATTGTTGATTCTGTTATCTGCTACTTTTTAATTGTGCACATTTAGCGAAGACAAGAAGAACTGGAGAGGAAAGAGGAGGAGTTGGCGCGTAGAGAAGAGGAGATGCGTCAAACCACATATAATGTAAGGCGAAATAATTGGCCTCCGTTACCTGAACAGTGCTGTTTTCAACCCTGCTTCTATCAAGATATTCAAGTAGACATACCGCTTGAGTTTCAAAAAATTGTGCGACATTTATATTACTTATGGATTTGTAAGTTGCTGACCGCGCAGTAGTGTAAGTTACGTTAATTATCTCTTTTAGTTCACGGTATGGTTCTACTTGTAAACGTGCTAGGCGGAATCATTATTGTAGATTTTGCCATTATTGGTTTGGGTATTCTTTATGTGATTTTATTTACGCCATTCTCATATTTATGTTGGTTTCGTCCAGCTTATAAAGCTTTTCGAGCCGATTCTTCATTTAATTTTATGGTATTTTTCTTTATTTTCTTTTTTCAATTTGTCATTACCATTATACAAGCTATTGGAATTCCTAGTTCAGGAACTATGTGAGTGATTTTTTTTAAAACTTGCAACGACTTACCTTGCTCTTTTAGCGGGATTATCACAGTTCTAACGCTGTTTAAAGCGGCCGAATCAGCTGGTCAGGTTGTTGTTGCCGTAATTGAATTACTAATAGCGATCGGTTTCGCATGTGCAGCTGCAGCCGATTTGTTTTTGATTTCCAAGGTGCGTACTCTTTTAGGAACTGTTCTAGGGATAGAATTCAAAAATTTGTTTCAGATTCATCGTATGTATCGAAGTACAGGGGCTAGTTTTGCAAAAGCGCAAGCTGAGTTTACGACTGAGTTTCTTAGAAACCAGCATGTGAGAGGTGCTGCGTCTAATGTAGCTGCCGCAGCTGTCCAGTCACAATTAAATACAAATACTACTAATAATAGATATTAAAATTGTACTGTTGCATTATGTAATGAGGTTATGTATGATACACCAAGTAAAATTTTTTGCGTTTACTTACACGACTACGGTTTCACCTTGGTGTTCATTAACAGTTATATTTACATATCCATCCTTTTATTTAATATTGAAAATATATTTGTGTTATAGTGTATGTAAATTGATTATTAAACTAATTACCAAGACTTGCCTTTGTTAATAAGGTTGAGACCAATTAATGTGGTCACAACTATATGTAATGGTTGTGGAGGCAGCAGCTAAACGGCAGACAATCTAAGATTACATTACATACATTCAATAACCAAAAGGGGACATACGGATCTATTGACTTTGATACAGTGGCGATTTCCAAAAACCCTCCATTTTTAACTGCTGACATGTCATTATTTTGTAAATGTTCACTGTTTCATATGATTTTTTGTTTGGAGTTCTTATACAAACAAATAGTTGTATGGTATATATTGCTATTTACTAAACTTTCAACTATAGTCAATAGATTGTATTTCTATTAATGTTATTATGTTGACGTTTTTTTTTGATAAATTTTGCAATGTGTCACATAGTCAAGATAAGAATACACTGTATTTAAAATTTTTCAATAATTTAAGTACTTGCTTATTAGGTCAATATTAATAATGAGGTGGATGGCTGCATTCAGTATAACATTTCATTTATCTTTTACATTGTGTTACTTTAAGTAATTTAACTTAATAAGCGGTTAAACCAACAGTAACAAATTTATATCGACAGCAATTAAAATTTGTTATTTAAGGTATTTATTATAATCACCATTGTTTTCTTTTTTGTAAAATACACGTTAATCAGTATAAGAGTAAAATTTATCTTTTTATTGTTTCACATATGTTTTTGTGGTTTGTGCCTTTTTTACTGTGGATCTAAACCATTTAGTACAGTAAAATCATGGTAATCTGAGGTCCAAAAGAAAACAAACTTGAAAACTGATAACCTTATTTTATTTTGATGTAATCAGTGTATCCCTGGAATATTCTGCGCTACTCGGCCCACGTCAGTGGGTGACGTGTGGAAGGTGGCAGTGCCACACGCCAAGTTTTAAAAATAGGTCAGTTCAGTAGTGCCTGCTACTGTATACAGATCGTGTTTCACTGTTCCAAAGTACCACCAGCCCGTATTATTTCGGATTATCAAGACTTGATTGAAATATTCTTATAATTGAAATTTCCTAATCACTTCTCCACAATGTCGAAAATACTACATTCTGTTAAATTAATGGTTAAAGTCACAGATTTTGCACTTTAAAATAGAAAAGCAATAGGAAATGATTTTGTTCAGAAGGGCGTTGCCAGAAACGATTTTTACTAGACATGATGTATTAAAAAACTGCTGAAATAAAACGTTAAGCACTTATTCACAAAGCAATACTATAAAACAAAACAAGCTCAAGCACAACCGATTCTATAATACTAGCAAACCCTGCGAATTTCGTACTCTCTTTGGGAAATTTTTGCTTGCCTTAACACGCACACCCGCTGGACGTCATACCGCCTATCAGTCGATGCTTTCTTGGATGATGGGACATGCGTTTGGTTACCGCCTCACCTCACACCCCGCAATTGTCGCACTATATAGTCACCTAGCGATATGAAATACTTATTTTCATACCTACCAAATTTGCCAAAAAAATTTCGACCACCAATTTGAAATTATATGTACAGTAGTACAGGTGAGGGAGTTTAAATAGATAAGTTACACCTCAACTGTTTTACTGAAATAACAACGCTGATATCAATAAAATTTAGGTGCTAGAGGGGATCAAAACAAAAATTTTTTTAAAATGCCAAGCTGATCTTTCTGTTTGTTATAGTTGCTAAGGAAAAAATTAAAGAAGAAAAAAATTTTGTGACTTGGAGACACGAACAAACTAATAATACGGTGTAACTACTATTTTTGTCGTTACTTATCTTAATTTTGACCACACTACCTGATAAATGCGATTATATTAATTATAAAGAAAGCAATTTCCTTTATTGTGGAAGGAAATTGCACTAGTCAGTGTTAGGGTTCGATACAGTGTGGTGGATAAATTTTTGTTAAATTAGTTGCCAGTGTATTGTGTGTCGTCAGAAATTTTTAGTATACATTATTCTGAGATTTGTTTAACATGTAAGTAACACATTCTTGAATATTATGAAATCGCGCCACAAACAACAAAGATTAGATCTCCAAGTATCAAATAGACAGACAGACAAAATAAGATTAGGTATACACTGTTCAAGATAAGAACATATTTTTCAGGAAATTTGTGGGATAGACATTCTCGCACGATTAGGGCATTGTGTGCGGGCGCACGATCCTGTTGAAACCAATATTTTGTGTGCCGTACATTTTGTATTTGTACTTTTTTTATGGGGTGTATATACCAAAGTAAAGTTGATGATTTCTCTGAAACGAAATGTTATATTGAACATTTTTCAATGCTGTCTTGTAGAGCTCATATAGTGGCAATGAATGAGAAAGTGTCTTTTATTTTTTTGTATCTGTTCAAATAACAGAAAAAAATAAAAACCAAATCTGCAAATTTCGGTTTTTTTGGCATAGCTTTGGAAGTAATCCGAATTTTCTCGTTTTCTTTACAGTATGATAATGACTGTTTAATTGAGCAATTTTTCCCTTATTTGATCATCTTCCATGGTTTCTGAATTCCCCATGATAGACATTCTTATCTTGGACACACTGTATGTGATCGTTTCCAATGCCATTTGGTAGTTTTGGAAACGGATACTGACGCGAGCTTTTCGATTTGACATAGGTAGGTCTCTCATACATGTCCATTTTATATAAATTGGCCATTGCTTGTATTTTATCTGAGGCCATGACCCCCAGAAGTGGCTGTAATCCATTTTCTACTGTGCCGTAGAGATCGTCCTCAAGGCTCTCCAGATTTTGTGCCAACCGAACCAAGTACCTGCGTCATGGTATCTCGGAGAAACGGATACGCCCGAACCCTCAAAAGGTAGCCGCGATACAAAATATCCCAGAAGCGAAGAATGGTATCGGAAATTGATAAAAGGCATTGAAGCTGATCACCACCTCCCCAACTTTACGTCAGGTGCACGACAGCAAACCCTTCACAACAAAACAATCCTGCTTTCTCTTGTTACTTTTTTTACAATCCCTTCTCTCCACTTTACTTCTTCCCCCTTTATTCCCGCATCTGAACTTTGCAATTAGTTTGAGGTTTTTTTCCTCCTTCCCTTATGTATGTATACATACCTTATACTTTCTGTCGCATTACATCGTGTGTTTTAGATTTTCTCTCTATTGCACTATTTTGTATATCTTTGTCCCTTTTTGTTAGCTCCTCTTCCATTCTTTCCACCATTTCAGTCATAATTTTTTTTTTGCTCCCACCAATTTTTTATTGTTAACAAACACTTTTTCAACAATGCACTATCTTTCTCTCCTTTCCTCGAATCTTATCGCACTGCGCCCCAAACACTATCCTTATCCATTTTCTTATTCTGAACTTTTTTTTGAATTCCCCACACCTGTCTCTCTATTTTTCTTAATTTCGGTATTTCTGCATTTGCCCCATTATTTCGTTGCATCTGGGTATAACCTAAGTTCCCTTACTTCCTCTCTCTTTCCTCCTTATCCATTTCCATTCTATTTCTGTTTCGCTCCTCCCTTCTCAAATTTCATCGTAGATTTTTTTTCCCAGTATCCCTCCGTTCTTCCCATTACTTCTATCATCTATTAATTAATTTATTATCCCTCTCTTGTTCTGGGCCCTCAACAGGCTTGCGCCCAATTACAGAGTGACCCCCATAAAGCTTTTTCTGTTCTACGCCTGTTGCCAATATTATTGTGTCGTCAGCGTATGCCAGGAACCATATCCTTCTTCTTCCCACCGCAATTCCTCCATATCTCGTATGTAAATCTTAAATAAACAGGGGCGGACTGGGTAACTGCGGGCCAGGTGGAATTGCATAGGTTACGGGCCATTAAAGTATTAGTGTAGTAATGATGGTGGCGCGGGGGGGGGTTTAGCTCTGAGGTGCACCAAAACATTTTAGTACAAGTACTCCTTTCTCGAAAATAAATTACCATACAGTTTTTTTTAAAATTGCAGCTGATAATTAAAAGTAACAAAATATACAATCCACACGAGGTGCGTCGCCTATCATTGTATTTCAGCACTTTCAAAATACTACGACAAAAAATGATAAATTCATTGTAAAACACTTCAATTAAAACAGAATTTTTTAATTTTTTAACAACCTAACATCAACCCCAATTAGAGAAACGTGTTAATAATTTATTAATAGTGCAAGAAACTAAATACAGCACATACTTATAAATTTCCAACGGGCCATTATGATCTACAGGCCAAGTGGCAATCGCCACCCACCCCCCCGGGCCAGTGCGCCCCTGGTTATACACTGCCTTTTTTTGAGCCCCTCAGATCGACCCGGAAAAAAAAATTTCTTATAGAATGTGGCCTGTAGAATCCATAATTTCAAACAGTTCCAAGATTGGGCTACTAGTTCAAAAGTTACAGCCCTTTGAATTTTCTTTCGAAATTGGTTTCTAGTCTATAACTTTTGATTGAGAAGTCTGATCGAAAAAGTACGAATTGATTTGGATTCTACGCACCCAAATTAATAAGAAAAAGTGTTTTCCCGAGAAATTTTGGTGTAGTCGATTTTTGGTAAAAAAAGGAAGGTTATACACTGCCATTTTTTGAGCCCCGAAAAAAAATTGTCTCAGATCGACCCGGAAAAAAATTTTCTTATAGAATGTGGCCTGTAGAATCCATAATTTCAAACAGTTCCAAGATTGGGCTACTAGTTCAAAAGTTACAGCCCTTTAAATTTTTTTTCGAAATTGGTTTCTAGTCTATAACTTTTGATTGAGAAGCCTGATCGAAAAAGTACGAATTGTTTTGGATTCTACGCACCAAAATTAATAAGAAAAAGTGTTTTCCCGAGAAATTTTGGTGCAGTCAATTTTTGGTAAAAAAGGAAGGTTATACACTGCCTTTTTTTGAGCCCCGAAAAAAAACTTGTCTCAGATCGACCCGGAAAAAAATTTTCTTATAGAATGTGGCCTGTAGAATCCATAATTTCAAACAGTTCCAAGATTGCGCTACTAGTTCAAAAGTTACAGCCCTTTGAATTTTTTTTCGAAATTGGTTTCTAGTCTATAACTTTTGATTGAGAAGCCTGATCGAAAAAGTACGAATTGGTTTGGATTCTACGCACCAAAATAAATAAGAAAAAGTGTTTTCCCGAGAAAGTTTGGTGTAGTCCAATTTTGGTAAAAAAGGAAGGTTATACACAGGGGCGGACTGGGTACTTACGGGCCATTAAAGTATTATTGTAGTAATGAAGGTGCCGGTGGGGGGGGGGGGAACTTCTGAGTTGCACCACAAAAACATTTTAAAGTACTCCTTTCTCGAAAATCAATTACCATACAGTTTTTTTTAAATTGCAGCTGATAATTAAAGGTAACAAAATATACAATCCACACGAGGTGCGTCGCCTATCATTGTATTTCGGCACTTTCATGCTACGACAAAAAATGATAAATTCATTGTAAAACACTTCAATTAAAACAGAATTTTTTAACAACCTAACATCAACCCCAATTAGAGAAACGTGTTAATAATTTATTAATAGCGCAAGAAATTAAATACAGCACATACTTATAAATTTCCAACGGGCCATTATGATCTACAGGCCAGGTGGCAATCGCCCCCCCCCCCCGTGCCAGTCCGCCCCTGTAAATAAGGTTGGGCTAAGTGGACATATCCATGTATCAGTCCTACATGGCTCCTGTCCTTATACTTTCATCCCTGTCTATCCATATCCTTCAATCTGTCCTATAAGTTATTGTCTATTTTCCCATCATCGTCCACCATTTTCCATATACAGGGTGACAATTTGAAAACTTACCACCCCCCATATCTTAGTAAATAAACGAGATATTTAAAAAAATCAAAATCCGTTTCGGTAATTCGGAGGGGGAATCACAATGACCTAGTTGGCGACGCACCCCCTCACACCCCCTGCGCCCTAGCCACCCCAACTTTTAAATCTTAAATAGGGACTCCCCATGTGTGATACGTCATTGGAAAGCTCTGAAAAAATGCTTTCCAACCATACCAAATAGCATTACATTTAGGTCAGTAATTATCGTGCAAATCAAAAAATAAACATGGAAAATCGTATTTAACTTGAACTTCCAAAGCCGACTCGACAGCAACTCATTTTTGATCGCCAGTTATAATCTATTCTCAAACTCTTGTCGAACCTTTTCAAATGTTGGTTTTGCAATATTTCGACATTCTTGAATTATTCTCTGTCTTAGTTCGTCTATGTTCGCCGGTTGCGTTTTAAATACGACAGATTTCAAATGTATCATATTAGTTTATTTTTTGATTTGCACGATAATTACTAACCTAAATGTAATGCTATTTGGTATGGTTGGAAAGCATTTTTTCAGAGCTTTCCAACGACGTATCACACATGGGGGGGTCACTATTTAAGATTTAAAAGTTGGGGTGGCTGGGGCGCAGGGGGTTGGAGAGGGTGCGTCGCCAACTATGTCATTGTGATTCCCCCTCCGAATTACCGAAACGGATTTTGATTTTTTTAAATATCTCGTTTATTTACTAAGATATGGGGGGTGGTAAGTTTTCAAATTGTCACCCTGTATATATATTTACTCTCTGTACTCTGCCAAATGCTGCCTCTCAGTCCAACCATTGAATAATAAATCTGAATTTATTATTCAATGGTCCAACCCAATGCCATTTGGCAGCTTTGGAAACGCAGAGGTCTATGGCAACATGTCGTATAGATATACGATTTAAGGATTTTTACTTGGCATATTTGATACGAAAGTGAAAATTTGTGGCGAATTAGCTTTGAACGGATTATTTAAATTTATTTCATTGCTTCATTTTATCGTTTTTACAATGCTTGCAATAATCGTCAATTTCTCGATTATTGATGAAGGATATTCCTCTACAAAATCGCATTCGGATCACGTTAAGAACCAAACATGGATGGATTTCCAAGAACCCTCCGCTCAACGTTTCGCAACTCACGTACGCAAATTTTTGCAAGTTGCGCCACTGTGCAATTGGATTTCATTGGCTCGAACTTTTATTAAGTAACCAATCGGCATGGGGGTCTCCCTAACCTGGACTTTGTTAAGAAACGTCAGTGACAGTCGCACTCTACGTTTTCATTTCGCGTTAAAACAGAAAACTACATGTGGCGATAAGTGGAGTGATTCATTTGTAAACATATTTATCAGCACATAATGATAAGCTTTAAACAATTTGGCGGTAAATTTGGTAGAAATAATGTTAATGGAAGATATTGTTCTAATAAAACTATCATCCAAGGGTAATTGGGTAACATGAATTTCATGTTCAGGTATGTTTACCTGCTTCTAAAAATAATTGCCTACTAATTAATAATACACGATTTTTTAATTATTAAATTCAAATTTGTTTAGACAATAACTTATTTTTACAAGAACTTTTTTGGGCAGTTATAATAATTATCTCGATAATGACATCATTATTAAAACATTTGGCAATGAATCCCTGTCTGGGCATTACTAAATTGTAATTGATAGTAACACTTTGCTGATTTATTGTTCTTTTAGACTGACATCATGTCGCTTGCAGAATCCACAACAAAACCAATCTTTCGAAGACACCTTTTATCTATCACGTGAAGTGGTGAGTACAAAGCAATTTAAGTTCTCGTAGCTTCTTCGGATAGTACAGCTGTGCTTACCGAAAGAGTACTCGAATGAATGTTATCTGTTTAAGTATGCAAATGACAAACTTCCACATTTCCTTTGAAACTCGTAATTTTGGCAACCGGTTGTCCTAATCAATATTAATAAATGAACTAACTAAACTATTACCTAATTACTTTCTGGGGATCAATAACTTTAATATTAATTGGCATAATTATAGTCGTATTTTGGTACCTATGCATATTACATAAACGTTGCGAAATATTCATAAGTTCAATGTAGTAGCTCTATTGTAGAGCAGGCCGCTTTAAAAAAAATACAATTTGGAGGGCCGCATTATAACATCTTTGTACATAAATATATCAGTGGTATCGTGCACAGTTTTGTATTTGACGGAAATTTATACATTTTAGTGGCCGCAAAAACACTAGGGTCTTATGTTGGACATAGGATGCGAGGGAGGATCTGGTTTACACCAATTTAAAAAAATTGAAATAACTTGTCCTTGCTTCGGAAGGTTCCAAATAAAAGCAAATTACACCTGTAACATTATGTTTAATAAAATTCAGTTGCAATAGTGGATGTATGTTTCTAATAAACAATATAGAGTTAGAAACAGGGTATGAAAGGGTGTTACATTTAAGTAAATATGAAAATATTTATGATAAGGTATCTGTGTAACAAAAAATATAGGGGTAGAGGTTTCCAAAACAAGCATTTTTTTTACAAATCAAGCAATGGCTCACAATACTTCGCCGGAGAGATATACATATTCCTCTCAATTTTGCGTTGCCGCGCTCTATAAGCATGTACCTACTCTAATTCCAATTAATGCGCAATACCATAACTCATTCCACTAATTTCGCCAAAATTCCACTCTAAATCTCCCATACATCCCACTAATATTGTTTCAATTCCTAGATACGTATGTGCTAGTAATGAATGTTTGTAATAACTTGCAAAACCAATGAAACTAGCTTTATTTTTGATTTAATTAATAATAGTATAATATACGCAAACAAGAACTTAAAAAAGACCTCTTACAACAATAAATCAAATAAAATGAAGTAAAAATAAATCGACCTTTTTTTTATCTCCTAAAACATACTTTCCCACACTCATAGATCTATGGATACTGTGCCCACAATTCATCTACAGACAACCTGAATCAGTAAAGAATTTTTTTAGGTTAAACCACTGTGTATCTACTTTGTCTATTGATTATAAATATTAATTCGGAAAATTGTTGAAATACCTAATAAATAATTAAACATTGAATGTATATTATATACGTACAATTCGTTACCCAGATTATTAACAGACTGCACTGAGAACGTGAAAAGAAGATACGAAGAATTGCATACGATTTTCAGTGGGGGAATTTTTTGACACTCGGCTAACATTCAGAAACGCAACTTTTAATCCGGCTCATATTCAGTAGTACTGATCATTGAACTTGTCGAAATTGATTAGCGAAGATTTGATAGCGTTGTCTCTTTTCGCTTTAAGTTAGATGAGGGACAGACAGACAGACTGACCGACAAAATCATTATGCGCTTCGTCAACATGTCATTTGTCGACATGTCATTTTCAAGATATTCACATTTGAAGTATTCACTCCACCGACGCATACTTCTCGTCGACATCTATTATTTTCCCTTGGCGAGTACCCTCTATTAACATTCCATTTTTGGCATATTCACACATGATGTTTTCACCCCACCGAGGGATGCGTCTCATCGACAACTATCATTTTCCCTTCGTAAGTACGCTCTTCAAACACTATGTTTTCGAAATATTCAATTAATATGAAGATGGTGATTCAGGGAATGTATTCATTAGTAAGAACTAAGAACCAATTTTTCGTAGCTCATCACCTGAACTGTTCAAATTGTTCCCAGTTCCCCAAAATGACCGGCTTCATGGTTCAGTGGTAGAGCGTTGGACTATAAATCCAGAGGTCGAGTGTTCGAACCTGGGTTGAGGTGAATTTTTCACTGTGGCAGAGATGGGAATTACCTTAGATCAGTTTTGAGCATTCTGCCGGGTGTGCATTATGCGGGTCACTCTGTAGTTGGGTGCAAGGCTGTTGAGGTCCGGAACAAGAGAGGAATAATAAATAAATAAATAAATAAAATGATTGGTTTCTACTTCCAAATCAAGGCTCATGTGTTTGTTCCTGAATTACCGAGTGAGAGCAAACAGCATTATTATCAACTCCCTGAAATCGTATTAGGCTTTCCAAACATCTACTTTTGGTTTGGCTACACGAACTCAGGCAATGATTCCGGGTTTTCCGACACTAAGCATCACCTCAACGACTAAACCCAATGGCCCGAACTACCGGGGACGATATTACCGACTCATCATGTTTGAGCCAGCTTTTATTAGCGTTGTATGTTACTTTATTGACTGACCTGAACATTTCGTCTACTATGAACGGACAGATAACTGGCCAAACTCAGGATCGATTGGCTACGGAAACTATTTATAGAACCAAAATTTACAGCGAATTCTGGCCTCAACTGACAGCTGTTAAATCCCCTTTTTTAGGGTAAAGTATTGCTATGCGCCACGTTGGGCGCCAAAATATTGCTGTAGCTCTTATAATTCGGGCTCATAAAAAATAATTTGAATGCCGGCACCGGCACTGGTTCCAAGACACTTGTGCCTTGCTTATCTCGTTTAATTTAGTTTTACTTTGATAAAGTCCTCTTAGCAAGCATTTGTTAATTGATTTTTTTTCGTAAAAACGCAATACATTATTTACCCACATGTTGCTTACCTTCTACGTCTTAAATTACAAACAAGAACAATTACAACCTACTAAATTCTTCAATCATTTCTCGAGCATAGTGTGCTGCTTGTCATTCCTTTAGCACGCCAGGAAGGCATACCCTTATCGTCGGCATTATTTCGACCTAAAGGGTATACACCCCCTGGTTTACATTATTACGAAGCTGCCGTAAGTTTTTCAATCACTCGAACCAGTACAAATTTATCTAAATTACTCCAATGGACTTATGTTCATGGAGAGTAAAATGCAAGTAAAAGCGAATAATTAATACTTGACCTAAAATTTAATATAATTTACATTAGCTGCTCGCATGTTTGGGCAATGACAAATAAATAATTGGTATTAGCCGGACGTATAACATCGTTTCTTGTACAAAAAAAATGGTTTTTAAATTTCTACAATTTTTGGATCAAAAACGAAAAAATTGACAGAGTTAAAATGATTTCGACGCGCAGATCATATGTTATGCACTGTAATTATTCAATGAACTTTGAGAGATGCATCATACCATAGTGTAAAGAATAGAAAGTAGGTCTAAAATCGATTACCGCATGTGCCACCACTTTTGAAGCGATGCATTCTTTGTGAAAAGCAAAAACTGTTAAGCAGTTTGATTGTTAAATCATAAACAGTGCACCCAGTAAATTTCATCAAACTCCGACGATTTATTTTGCTCGGTCAAGATTTTCTGTTTAATTTTTTTTCTGTATTTTTAGCGTACCCCGGACCTTTGCCATATGAAACCTTATGTATTCTTGAGTGGAAATATGAAAAAGAAACGAAGAATCATATACTATTTTCAGTAGGGTAATTTTTTGACACTCAGCTCGCATTCGGGAACATGACTTTTCGGCTCATATTCAATAGCCCTGATCCTGGAACTCGTAAAAATCGATTGGCGAAGGTTTGAGATCGCGAGGAACAGGCCGACATACGGACGGACAAAACCATTATATAAGGGGAGTTTATTTCGAAAAATTCCCTTAAAAACGGATGTGTCTTGTCAACATATATCATTTTCCCTTCTGTCACTCGGTTTTCGAGATATTCTCGTTTGAAATTTTAGCCCCACCAATGAATACGTTGGTTCCAGTCAGGGCTTCTATGGTATAGGGCCGCGTCCATTTGGGGTGGAAGCTCTCGCCCCTCTTACTCGCGCTCTTGGCACCGGGTGACCACGGGATCGTACAACTTCTGTAGCGGTGTTGGTCCACGCAGGATTTAGCGTTGCCGTCCTTCTTTTGGACAATGACGATTGGGGACGAGTAGCTGGATGCGCTCGGTTTAATAATGTGGTCGGGCAGCATCGTTTCGACCTCCTGGGCAATGATCGCAAGCGGAAAGGGGCGGTGTTGTGTAATCGAATTTTGGGCTTGGTCGAGACGATGGTGGACGAAACGGTTCCTTTCGAAAATGTGGCCCGAAAAGTTTGGGGTAGTTCTCGGAACCTAGGGATCAGTAATGTGGGAAAACCATGGTGGACCTCTCTTCGACCTTCGGCGTGACGTCCTCGCGTCGACATTTGATGATATTTGGACATGTTGAAAAAGCGGTGATTGCAATAGCTCAAGCTAGGAAGCTAAAAATCATAAACAAACCTTTCTATTACATGATGTACATAGTAGAAAATAAAATAAAGTGTTGGTGGTCGGTAACTGTACAGGCTGATTTGAATACGAGGGCCACCTTGAGGATCTCGAAACTGTAAGAGATAGGTAGGTAGTTTAAATTTGCAAAAGTTGCGTATTTTGATGCTTAATAAAATGCCGTTTGGAAACTGAAAATATTCCGACTACTCTCGGAGATATCCTGAAACAACGAAATTTTGCAAAATTGTTTTTATTTTTTATCGAAGATACTTAAAAAGATTTTTCAAAATAAATGTCCACTTTTTTCCCTCTACAAGATGCTAGTTTTAAATTTGAAGTCTGACGTTTCGTCTCCCGTTAACCATCATCAAGAAACTACGAATATACACTACCCACGACAAAGTTTGCCGGGAAAAAAAGATGTTTTAACAATATTTAAAAAATACGCAACTTCGCCAAATTTAAACTACCTACCTCTTACAGTTCCCGAGATCCCCATGGTGGCCCTCGAATTTGTATCAGCCTGTATACATACTAAGTGAGGAAATTATATCTCATAGAGTGCAAAAAGTGTCAGCGTAATGATGAAAA